GCAAAGAGGGGTATTCTGACTGTCTTCGAATGCTGGTATTCCTTCAAACACAAAACTTCACGTTTTCTCATTTGAACTCAAAAACTCCTGCTGCTGAGAGATGGAATAGAGAGAGAACATATTGTTCACTTCAGTTCTCTATTATTAGGCTGCATCTGTAGCCTCTAGTTCCCTAGCATCTTGCCCTTGACCCATGAGTTACCCTCCTGTTAGCAGAAAGGGAGAGGGGGAAACATGAGCTTGAGTCTCCTTGGCAACCAGTCAATGTTGGTATAAATTGTGCCTCACACTTGGTAGCTCATTATAGGACACCAGGTTTGTTGAAGAAAGTGGGCAAAACATATAATTAATGAATAAGAACCCTGCTTTCAGCTGTCACTTGGATAAAGAGTTAAAATATTTAAAAAAAAAAATAAGCATGCCCAGCTGGTGTGGCTCAGTGGATTGAGCATCATCGCATGGACTGAGAGATACTGATTCGATTCCCAGTCAGGGCACATGCGCGAGTTACAGGCTTGATCTCCAGTGGGGGGCGTGTAGGAGGCAGCCAATTGACATTTCTCTCTCACATGGATTTTTCTGTCTCTCTCTCTCTCCCTTCCTTTCTCTCTAAAAAGTCAATAAAAACATATTTTTTTCAAAAAAAAAAAAAAAACACAATAAGAGTAATAAAAACATGAATACATTTTTATCTGAGCTAAATTCAACTGCTGGTTCGGAGTACAGAATGTAGTAAAGATAAAAATAAGCTACTATAAAAACTCAGTCCAATCCGTGGGTGAGACAGGACTACTGTAGACCCAGATGTCATCTTAGACTCACTCACCCCCAGGAACACTTGCCCTGAGCTCCAGCAGCTTCAAAGTGCCATGGATATATATGGAGAGGAACTGACTTCTCTGGCTCCAGGGTGAAGAATAAAGGGACTGCTCTCTCTGGGACACAAGTGCCAGCAGGCACCACTGTTTCTTTGTTGAGCCCTCCCACACACAGCCTGCAGGCACAGGTGAGTGCCAAATCTGACTTTCTATTAACATGGCCAACACTGCTAGCCCCTCTCTGGTGATTCTCTGAGACCCTGCCCCATCCAATTCAGGTTCCAGGGCCCAAACTCTTTCAGAGGCTAATCCACTCAAGCTGCCAGCCTAGACCCACCCTGCAGGCATTCCTAAAATCTCTAAAAGGTGCACAAACCCCTAACAAACACAACTGGCCTCAGTGTACCCAATACCTCTTGCTAAGCCATCACGAGCCAGGCACTAGTGGCAGCTAGGCTAGTTTCACAGCATGACCACTCTCAGGTGCCTCCTAGCCCAGCACGGGCAACTACAACAGATCACTCTGAAGCTGCTACAAGGTGGTCCCAAGATGGACACACTGAATCCCCTTCCAAGAGTCCCCAGAACCACCACACCTTGTGGTGAGCTTTAGACAATACCAGAGCACTACCCAATTAGCACCACAAATAACACACCTAAAGGATGGACTCAGCAGGCTCCAGAGCCCTACTGAATCAAATCCCGATCCATGAGGTCAGCCTACACATAACAGCTTGTCTACGGTAGTCACAGCCAGTCTTCACAGCCAGTCACACTGAGAGTCAGTCCCATCCACTGACATGCCAACAACAGTCAAGGCTCAACTGCAACAGGAGGGCATAAACACTCACACAAGGGACACCCCTGGAGCACCCAGCTTGGTTGACCTGGGAGACTGAGCCACTGGGCCTCATAGGACACCTGCTACGTAGGACCACTCTGCCAAGACTGGGGGACATAGCAGATCTACCCAACATATAGAAACAAACACAGGGAAACAGCCAAAATGAGGAGACAAAAAAAAAAAAAAAAAAAAAAAAAACCATGTCCCAAGTGAAAGAACAAAACAAAACTCCAAAACTAAACAAAATGGAGACGAGCAATCATCAGATGCAGAGTTTAAAACGCTGGTAATAAGGATGCTCAGTGAACTCAGGGAAAGAATAGGTGATTTTAGTGATAACTTCAGCAAAGAAACAGGAAACACAAAGGAGATCGGGGGGGGGGGGGTACAGTCAGAAAAGAAGAATACAATAACTGAAACAAAGAGTATATCTATTTCTAGAAAGAATGTATTAGATGAAATCAATAGCAGATTAGATAAAGCAGAAGATTGAATCAGATTTGGAAGCTAAGGAAGCAGAAAACAGAACAGAAAAAAAGAGAGAGAGAGAGATGTGACAGAGACACATCAATTGTTTGCCTCCTGTATGACCCCAACCGGGGCCGGGGATTGAACCTGCAAACACAGGTACTTGCCCTCGACTGGGAATCAAACCCGAGATGCTTTTGTCCAAGGGCTGATGCTCCATCCACTGAACCAAACCAGCCAGGGCTAAAAAAGAGTAAAATCTCACCATTTGAGACAACTTAGATGGCTCTAGAAGGTATTATGCTAGATGAAATAAGTCAGACAGAAAAAGACAAATGCCATGTTGATACCATTGTAATTAACCCTGTTATTAATTAATAAGAAAAGGAGTAAAGGAAAGCTGCAATTTAGATGCATGCCCAGTAAGGTCTGGGTGACATGGGAAGGTACTTGCCTGCCAATCACACCTGGAAACAGGTAATTGGCCAGAATAGGTGTGGCCACTGCAAGAGCATGAAATCTGAAATATTTAAACTCTTAAACAAAGAGAGTTTTCTCTCTCTCTCTCTCTCTCTCTCTCTCTCTCTCTCTCTCTCGTTGTACAAGTCTGACTCCTGGCTTGTGGGGGTCTCATACTCCACAGTCACCCATATGCCTTGTGGCCATGTGAACCCCACACACACAATGGACTAATGGACAGTGACTAGCCTGATGCTTGTTGCTACGCCAGATTCAGTTCCACCATGGAACAGAAGTTCTGTACCCCGGCTTTGCTTCTAGTTCTACTAAAGCCCCAGTTGCACCTTTTCCAAGGACTAGCTTAAGGGAAAGGGGACTTTGGAAACCAAGAAATGTAACTCCATGAAAATAAAGCCTTTTACCACATCTCATCCTCCCGTGGGGGCCTCCAGACCTGCTTATTCCAGTGGCACCCCAAGAACCCCACACCCACTGGCAACAGAGAAATTCCACCTGTACAATTCTCTGATAACAGTACGAATTCACTTATATGTGGACTCTAAAAACAAAATAAATGAACAAGTAAAACAGAAACAAAGTCATAGATACAGAGAACAAACTGATGGCTGCCAGATGGGAGGGGTGTCGGGAAGCTGGGTGAAAAGATGAAGGGATTAAGAAGTACAAAACGGCAGTTATAAAATAGTCACAGGATGTGAAGCACAGCATACAGAATAGAGCCAATAATATTGTAATAATTATGTATGTTGTCAGGAGGGTGCCAGACTTACAGGGGGATCACTTTGTACGTTATATAAATACCTAACCACAATGCTGGACACCTGAAACTAATACAATTTTTATTTTTTTTATCCTCACCGGAGGACATTTTTCCATATTTTGTTCAGATAGAGTGGGAGGGAGAGAGAGAGAGAGAGAGAGAGAAACATCGACGTGAAAGGGACACATCGAGTGGCTGCCACCAGCACAACCCAACCAGGGCCAGGGACAAACTGCAACCGAGGCACGTGCCCTTAGCGGGAACCGAACCCAGGTCTCTCCGGACCGCAGGCCAACGCTCTAACCGCTGAGCCAAACCGGCCAGGGCGCAATTTTTAAATTTTTTTTTCTTTATTGATTTTAGAGAGAGAGGAAGGGAGAGGGAGAGAGAGATAGAAACATTGATGAGAGAGAACATCGACTGGTTGCCTCCTGCATGCCCCCCACTGGGGATTGGGCCCACAACCTGGGCATGTGCCCTGACGGAGAATTGACCCAGCAACCTCTTGGTGCATGGGTTGATGCTTGACCACTGAGCCACACCGGCCGGGCAAAACTAATATAATATTGAATGGCAACTGTAATTGAAAAATAATAAATTTTAAAGAGTTGATCCAATTTCAATTAAAAATTTTTATAAAACGTTGGGTGTGACATTCAGCTGCAAGAGTGATCAGGCAAGAACATCAGAGTTTTTTACAATTATGAAGTAAATGAGTAGATAACTGTGATGCTGGCATATTTACCCTAATAGATCTTAAGACATAGCGGACCCAAGTGACAATTTTCAGCTACACGACTGGTAAGCGGAGGAGGCAGGATTCAGATTCAGAACTGATTTAAAAGCTCCAGCAAGACCTGACCTATTCTGCAATCTGATCTCATAAAACTGAACGCACCAAGTCAGTGTTGGTGGAGAAGTGCACCTCAGTAAAATATGCTCGCACACAGAGGGCCTGCTTTATTTTTTGAGTCACCTATCTAAGGTACTTCTAAATACCAAACTGGGGGTCTGCTCTAGTTTTACCCTCAAATTCACGCTGTGGCAGAACCTGCTCCAACCACTCTCACACCCAGAGACTGAGACCTCCGGGTTCTCAGAACTTTCACCAAGCCTTTGTGATGGCAGCCCTGGCTTGTTGCCATGGTGACCTCCGGGGCTAGGGCGGGGGCTCCCACAATGCCCTGAAGCCCAGCTGGCCCCTCACGCCCACAGCTTTGCCCACCTGCTCAGGGCCCTGTGGCATCCTCACTTAGGCACATCAGTACCATCCACCCATTCTTCCCCCAGGCCCTTACCTTCCTTTCCTCAGCCCATCTCCTCACCCTTTCGCCTCTTAGTAACTCTCCTGGGGCCGGGAGCTTCCTACCCCTCCCTCCTTGTCCCTGACACCTCCCCGTCTGACTGCTTCCCCCTTCACCCTCCCCCTCCGGCCTCCCTTCGGGTCTGCACGGCCTGACTTCTCCATTCCACCTTGTCTTTGCTCCCGCTTCTCCTCCCCAGCAGTTTGTCCCCTCCCCCTCCACTCCTGCCCCTCTCACCCCCTGCCCCTCCTCCCCTCTGCTCCCTCTCTCCCAGTGTCTGCTTTCTTCCCACCCACTGAGCCGGTCAGCTCTACCCGGGGACAACCATGGGACTTGGGGGGAGAAAGGGAGCCGTGACTCCCGGTGAGGAGAACCCCAGCCCGAGACTTCGAAGGAGGCCCAGAAGTGGTCAAAGAAAGATGAAAAAAAAGAAGATAGACATGGAGGACCTGAAGAAGGAGGCGTCCATGGTGAGAAAACCCAAGTGGAGGCTGACCAGATTGCTTTCTGAAAACATCCTTCAACCCTCAGCCTTGAACGTCTCACCCACAGGCCACTTCCCCCAAGTGTTTCTCCCCCTCCCCTGGAAATGACCAAGGGTCACCACCTCTCCCTCAGTGACTCTGCTGTCTTCTCAGAACGATCACAAATTAACCTTGGAGCAGCTGAGTACCAAGTATTCGGTGGACCTGACAAAGGTGAGCGAAGAAACTCCCTGGGGGAGGCTCCCACCAGGACAAAATCCCTGACCCTTAACCTCCACCAGGGCAAGTTCCACAGGCCACACACTCGGCAGAAGATGAAAATGGCTACTGTCCCAAAGGAAGCTCAGAATTAGACAAAAGAATAGAAGCGTGGTTTACAGCAACACTTCTCACACCTTTGTCCCTAAGACCCTTTTACACTCATTCATTATCAAAGAACCCAAAGAGCTTTGCTTATGTAGATTACATCCTCCATCATTATCATATTAGAAATTAAAATAGAGAAATTTAAAAATATTTTCTAATTCACTTTAAAACAAGAGTGAACCCATCATGTACATATTAAGATAAATAATAATTATATGACAAATAACTGTTTTTCAGAATAAAAAGATTTAGTGGCATTTTTCATTTTTGCAAGTCTCTTTTTTTATCCTCACCCGAGGACATTTTTCCATTTTTTGTTCAGATAGAGTGGGAGGGAGAGAGAGGAAGAGAGAGAGAGAGAAACATCGACGTGAAAGGGACACATCGAGTGCCTGCCACCCACACAACCCAACCAGGGCCGGGGACAAACTGCAACCGAGGTACATGCCCTTAGCGGAAACTGAACCCAGGTCTCTCTGGACCACAGGCCGACACTCTAACCACTGAACCAAACTGTCAGGGCTGCAAGCCTCTTTATTTTATTTATTTTTATTTTTTATCCTCACTCGAGGACATTTTTGCATTTATCTTCAGACAGAGCAGGAGGGAGAGAGGGGGACGAGAGAGAGAGAAACATCAATGTGAGAGAGACACATCGAGTGGTTGCCACTCACATGACCCCAACCGGGGCTGGGGACAAACCTCAACCAAGGCACGTGCCCTTAGCAAGAACCGAACCCAGGACTCTCTGGTTCACAGGTCGACTCTCCAACCGCTGAGCCAAACCAGCCAGGGCTGCAAGCCTCTTTAATGGCTAGCTTTTTAATAGAAGACAGCTAGATTCTCATATATTTTCAGTATTAAATCTGTTGCAATATTATGTGTCATGTAGCCTTCTGAAAATTCCACTGCACATTCAAGAGAACAAGACTGAAAAGACAAACAACAATTTAGTATTATTATGAAATTGTTTGAACATGTGGACCCTCATGAAAGGGAACCGAACCCAGGTCTTTCCAGACTACATTGAGAACCACTGGTTTAACAGTAAAATCATGTATTACTACTATTACTATTACTACTGCTGCTGCTACAATAGCCACTATCACAATGACCATGGATAAAACCTCAAACACCAAACTTCAAAATGTAAGCTGCTCTTAGATCTAGAACTTCTTCACTGGAGGGGCTTCATCTGGTAACCAAGGACGAGCATAGGAGGCTTGTCCTGTTTTTATTAAAAGTGTTTCTTTTTTCAGTGGGAGGTTAGGGAGTGGCTGATGGGGATTAAAGAGAATGTGTTTTCCATTCCTCTAGTAGGTTCTACTATCATTTGCTGTCAGAGGAAAAAGTATGCAAGCTTGCACAAGGCTAAAGTGAGAATCTATGCATTCATGTATTTAGCTGGGGTTTTTTTCCTACTTCTTAACTAGAGAGTCAAAGTGTGAGCAATCTACATGTTATCAACATTCCGTAGTGTACCCCATTATTACATAGCCTTGCATATTATTTCTATATTATAAATTATCCCCACCAGAGTTAGAGCTCCATAAGCCTACGGACCATTTTTACTCATTTTGGTATCTTACCACAGTGCCAGGACCAAGATGGGTATTCAAAACCCTGGCCAGTTTGGCTCAGCAGTTAGAGCGTTGGCCTGCGGTCTGGAAAGACCTGGGTTCGGTTCCCGCTAAGGGCACGTACCTCGGTTGCAGTTTGTCCCCGGCCCTGGTTGGATAGTGCGGGTGGCAACCACTCAATGTGTCCCTTTCATGTCGATGTTTCTCTCTCTCTCTCTTCCTCCCACTCTAGCTGAACAAAATATCAAAAAGTGTCCTCGGGCCCTGGCCGGTTTGGCTCAGCGGTTAGAGCGTCGGCCTGCGGTCCGGAGAGACCCGGGTTCGGTTCCCGCTAAGGGCGTGTACCTCGGTTGCAGTTTGTCCCCGGCCCTGGTTGGTTGTGCGGGTGGCAGCCACTCGATGTGTCCCTTTCACATCGATGTTTCTCTCTCTCTCTCCCTCCTGCTCTATCTGAACAAAGAATGAAAAAGTGTCCTCGGGTGAGGATAAAAAAAAAAAAAAAAAAAAAGTGTCCTCCGGTGAGGACAAGAGGCTTGTGAATCAATCCATAAACTAAAACTTCATCTTATGTAAGCATGCTCAATGATATCCCTTCTATAATACACATTTTAAAATCCCATTTGTCTTGTAGGAAGAACTTCTAGCCTGATCTTTAGAGAACTTCATTGGTCTCTAGACCCATCCTTGGGCTCTGTGGCAGATTGAGTTTTGAAGTCAGGTTCCCCTTTGCTATAGCTGCCCCCCCCACCCCCCGCTCATGATTTTTTACCCATTTTTATTTCTTCTTTATACAGGGCCTTAGGCCCGAACAAGCACGGGAAATCCTGATTCGAGATGGACCAAATACACTTACCCCACCCCCCACCACTCCAGAATGGATGAAATTCTGTAAACAACTGTTTGGTGGCTTCTCCACCCTCCTGTGGATTGGTGCCATTCTCTGCTTCCTGGCCTTTGGCATCCAGACACATCATAGTAAGGAGTTTACCAAAGACAATGTGAGTCTATTCAACTACTACTGCCCAGCCCAGCCTCTGCTTAGCCCCTGACACTCTTCTGCTCAGCAGCCTAGCACTCCTGAGCCCTCTGACCCAAATCCCTAGGTCTCCCAGGACTTTCTAAGGGAGCCCTCAGTGCCTCCTGGCTTCCCTGATCTTCTCCCCGTAAAGGCATGATCCCACTCACTGAGATACATGATTCCCCTGGAAACTTGCTCTCCTTTGATCATCTTCCCAACTGATCATCATAGCACTTTGAAGTCCCTTTCTCTTTCTCAGAATTTTAATCTCTTCTTCTTTCCTCCCCATCTCCCTCAGTATCTGCCCCCACACACCCCATAAACAGCCTTCTTAGAGAGCAGAATGTAGGCCTTCATGGTCCTGGGATTTTGCTGGCCCTTCACTGTAGCTTGGGGTTCCTTCACCAGGAAGCCAAGTGAGCCAGCCCTGTCTCAGATTCTTCTCGGCCCCTGAACTCTCCAACTGAGTCCTATGGTTTCCTGCACTTGGAGAGATGACTATTCTCATTGCAATTTTCTGAGGACGAAGAGGAATGAAAGGATCTGCTGATAAGCCCTTTCTTTCCCTCCCCCCAGCTGTACCTGGGCATTGTGTTAACCGTTGTGGTCATCATCACTGGCTGCTTCTCCTATTATCAGGAAGCCAAGAGTTCCAGAATCATGGAGTCTTTTAAGAACTTGGTGCCTCAGGTAGGATTGATGTGAGAGGAGGTAAGCAACATGGCCAAATGCACAGTTATTAAGTCCCTGGAAGAATAATGTTCTACAATGAGTGAGCTGAGTGACGCTGGAGGAGAGGGAGGCTCACTTAGGTTTTTCTCTATCTGGTCTTAAAAGTACCCTGAGAAGGGCACAGCATCACCTATGAAGTGGTCTGCTCTAGAATGCATTTGCACCTAATGGGCATAAAATGAAACTCCAAATGAGAACCTTTCATTTTTTAAAAAAGGACAGAGGAAGTTGGGGAGGCTAGATTCTTCCAATGTCAGTGACGTTAAAGACAAAGGACAACTGTGGACATGTTCCAGATTAAAGGAGAGGAAAGAAGCATGACAACTGACTGGAATGCCTGGCCCTCGACTGACTCGTGTTGGAAGGGGAAAAATGCTGTAAAAGATATACTGGGTCCATTGACAAAACTGGGATGCAGACAGATTAAAATGTTGTGTCAATGTGAAATGTACTGAAATTGATAAACTATATTATAGTTATTTGAGATCCTTCTTCTTGGGAGATGAACCCTGAAGCATGGAGAATAAAAGATCATGATGTGTGTAACTTACCCTCAAATGGCTCAGGAAAAAAAGTCTACATACACCCATATGTAGAGACAAAGAACAAATGACAAAGCAAATGGGATAAGATGTTAAAAGGTGAATCTGGGTAAAGGTTATACTGGCATCTTTGGTGTGGTTTTTATTCTTGCAGCTTTTCTAAAAGTTTAGATTACTTTCAGATAAAAAGGGGTTTTCGTTTATTTAAGTACCTGAAAATAATATGACCATACTAAGCGAAACAAGCCAAACAGAGAAAGACAAGTATCATATGATCTCTGTGGAATATAATGAACATAACAGTCTGAGGAATGGGGTAGTCCCAGAGACGTGGAAGTGGGGTACAGACTGACAATCCCCAGAAGAGGGGATGGTGGGGGAGAGATCAACCACAGAACTTATATGCATGTGTGCATGAACAATGGACGTGGACAACAAAGCTGGGGACAGGGCGGGGAGGGGGGAGACAGTGGGGGAGAAAGGAGAAACATCTGTAACAAAAATAAATTAATTAATTTAAAAAACAATAATAATACGACCATAGAAAGAGGTTTCTAGGCACAGGGCTGGAAACTGAGAAAGGAACAGGTTTCAACATTTCCAACAACATGATCGTGTTCTAGCGTTATAGCCCAGCATTCTCTTCTCACTTTGGTGTGAACATCACTTAGTTCCTTCCTTCAGTCAGAGCTCTGGGGAAATGTTTTGGTAGAATGAACTAGGAGTTTGGAAACTATCCGTTAGCTTTTGCTACCTAATAAGCCACCTAAGACAGTGGCTCAAAACAACATTATTTCTCACAGTTCTATGGCTGGGCTGTTCTTCTGATCTGAGTTGAATTTAGCTGATGCTGGATGGTATTAGAGGACCTCATTCACATGTCTGGGGTCTCAGCTGAGATTACTGGGGCCATCTAGGGTCTTTCTCCTCATGCTCTCTCTTCCTCCAGGAGGCTAGCGTGGGCATGTTCAGTGTGGCGGCAGAGAGATGTCCAGTGACAACAGGGCAAGCCCCATTGTGCAAGCACTCTTAAGCCTCTGTTTGCATTACAATGGCCAATGTCCTATGGGCCAAAGCAAGTGACAGCCAAGCCTAAGTGTAGGTTTGTAAAGATAGACCCCATCTCTTAGTGGGAGAAATGTCAACATCACGTTGCAAAGAGCCCTGCAAACAGCAATGGTAAGAATTTGCAATCTGTTGCCCTGGCCAGTTTGGCTCAGCGGTTAGAGTGTCGGCCTGCGGTCCGGAGAGACCCGGGTTCGGTTCCGGCTAAGGGCACGTACTTCGGTTGCAGTTTGTCCCCGGCCCTGATTGGTCGTGTGGGTGGCAGCCACTCGATGTGTCCCTTCACATCGATATTTCTCTCTCTCTCTCCCTCCCACTCTATCTGTACAAAAAATGGAAAAATATCCTCGGGTGAGGATAAAAAAAAAAAAAAAAGAATTTGCAATCTGTCAACGAGCCCTTCAAGAATTATATTCTTGTACAGCTGAAAATTAGATCGTGTTATTCACCGATGTTACCCCAATACATTTGTTTTTCTTTTTTAAATCTTTTTAATTTATTGTTTTGAGAGAAGAGACAGAGACAGAGAAACAGAGAGAGACAGAGAAAGAGACATCCATTTGTTGTTCCACTTATTTATACATGCATTGATAGATTCTTGCATGTGCCTTGACCAGAGATAGAACCTGTAAACTTGGCATATTAGGACAACTCTCTAACCAACTGAGCTACTTGACCAGGGCCTAATGTTACCCTAATACATTTAGTAATTTTAAAAATATGATGTGGTGAGTGACAGTGTAAGAAAGGGGAGTCTGGTCCGGCCGGTGTGGCTCAGTGGTTGAGCATCAACCCACGCACAAAGAGGCCTCCAGTTTAATTCACGGTCAGGACACATACCCAGGTTGTGGGCCCGATCCCCAGTGTGGGGCATGCAGGAGGCAGCCAATCAATGTTCTCTCTCATCAATGTTTCTGTCTCTCTCTTCCTCTCACTTCCTTTCTCTCTAAAATCAATAAAGGGGAAAAAAAAAAATTTTTTAAAGAAAGGGGAGTCTGAAGGAAGGAGACCAGGAACAAGAGGTTGTAGGCCTGGAGCAGGACTGGGGGAACGGAAAGCTTTGGAAATGACCCCGTACTATCTTCCCACAGCAAGCTCTAGTAATTCGAGGTGGAGAGAAGATACAAATCGATGTACAAAATGTAGTGGTGGGAGACCTAGTAGAAGTGAAGGGTGGAGACCGAATCCCCGCTGACATCAGGATCATCTCTGCAGATGGATGTAAGGTAAGGGGGTGTGGAAAGCTAGGAGAAGGAGCCAAGCCTGGCCTTGAGGCACTGTGGCGACCCGGACTCAGTGAAAGAAAGTACTGATCTTATTATTCAGAACCTGGAGAAGTTACCAATGCACATTTGAGATTAGAGACAATAGATGCTTGTGTGTAAATGTATGTTTCTCTCTGCATGTCAGTATTGATGATGTTGATGTCCAATAAAGCTGTGTCATCTTTCTAAATGAATCTTTTTTTCCTTGTGACCACTGATCCTCCTTCCCATCTCAGGTGGACAACTCATCCTTGACGGGAGAGTCGGAGCCCCAAAGCCGCTCTCCTGATTTCACCCATGAGAATCCTCTGGAGACGCGAAACATCTGCTTCTTCTCCACCAACTGTGTGGAAGGTGAATACTGCATTATAAATATTCTGGATTCAAAAGCAGAGTTTGAAAGATTTCAGGAAGTCTTTATCTTCTAAAGGTAGTAGGGTAGGTAACAGCTGGTAAGTAGTCAAGGTTCTCCATTATTCATGAGCAGTATGACCTTTGGGTAAAAGGTCAAAGCCATCATTTTCACATTGCACGACGATGATACTAAATGTCGCTACCCTATACATTTTTATGTGGATTAAAGGAATAATACACATAAAATGCTTAGCACAAGGCCTAACCCATTGTAAGTGCCCTATTATTATTCTGGCTAGTGGATAGACTATGCTCTATAAGCTGGAAATAGCACAGACAGGAGGAAAATTACTCAGCCCCGCTAGCTCATTCTTATCCTGGGGTAAACCCTATCTTCTCACTGTTCCAAAGAGGATTTGGGCATTGGAAATTTGAGTTCCCAGAGGTGCCTTTCACACTTCGGCTGTGCTTCTAGTATCTTGGACATCCTTGAACTGGGAGGCAGTTCTGGCCAAAGTGGCAACAATGGACTCAGTATCATTATGTCAACTTCTTCATCATCTTTTCCCTTTAGGAGGTCTGCATCGCTCTCTGGAACACACATTAAAATCATTATTCAGACTTAAGAATAAATGTATCTAAGAAATAGCTATTTTTATCCTCACTTGAGGACATTTTTCAGTATTTTGTTCAGATAGAGTGGGAGGGAGGGAGAGAGAGAGCGAGAGATAGAAACATCGACGTGAAAGGGACACATCAAGTGGCTGCCACCCACACGACCCAACCAGGGCTGGGGACAAACTGTAACCGAGGTACGTGCCCTTAGCGGAAGCCGAACCCGAATCTCTCCAGACCACAGGCCGACGCTCTAACCACTGAGCCAAACTGACCAGGGCAGAAATAACTATTTTTAAAGTTGAATGTCCGGTATATGTCAAGTGCCACAGATAACTCTGATTCTCACAACACTGTACAATAGATATTATCTCTATTTTACACACAAAAGGCTAAGGGTTAAAGAAATTAAATGCAGTACCAAGAGCACAACTCAACAGAAAAGAGGAGGGTCAAGGATTCTAATGCAGGCTTGTCATCAGAACACATGCTCTTTCCACAGACCCTTCTCAGGAATAAAGCTTCTTCATGACCTCTCTGATAATCAAATTAGTTTATTTGGAATTATCTTATAGAATAAGAGTAACATTAAGTGAGAAAAAGAATCTTCCCTGACCAGTTTAGCTCAACAGTTACAGCATCAGCCGGTAGGCTGTAAGGTAGAAGGTTCAATTCCTGGTCAAGGGCATGTACCTGGGTTGCAGGTTTGACCTCTGGTCACAACCGATCTGTGTCTCTCTCCCTTCCTCCCTTCCACTCTCTCTAAAAATCAATGGGAAAATATCCTCGGGTGAAGATTAACACGAGAGAGAGAGAGAGAGAGAGAGAGAGAGAGAGAGAGAAGAGAAAAGAAGAAGAAGAAGGAGAAGGAGAAGGAGGAGAAGGAGGAGAAGAAGAGGAAGAATCCAACTAGAAAATAAAATATAGATTCAAATAATTTTTTAAAAATTTGAAGGGAAAAATGCAAGTTAGCAAGCTTTCTCTAAAAAACACTAGTTTCTATTATTAAATTTCAGGAAGAAATTTGCTCAAATTTTCCTTTCATAGTAAATTTTTTATCAGCAAAGTATATGCTTTGGATAAGAGGGGAAGTGGGTGGTGGCATTCCATCTGAGAAACAAGGATCTGGCTAGAATGCAGGAGGCTTTAGGAGGGAACAAGAGGGATCCAAGATGTGACCAAGTGGGTGGAGCCAGGCTGAGGGAGCTCTTGACTGTTAAATTGAGGGATTTCTGTGCAGTCTGCAAACTAGTTGCATAACTTTGACCTTTATCCTAGAATTTTGCCTCCCTGCTTTTATCTCTGTGGACTTGGACAGGGCTACTGGTGCAAACATCTCCCATTGGGTTCTCATGCATCTTCATGGGGGGCCCAAGCTTTTTATTTCTCTGGCATTATATAGGAGGTTATAATGGGATAAAGGAAGTTTGGCCTTCTTAACCTTCCCCAAGGTTGACATCAACCCACCCTGTCTCTAGACACATTGAGATTAGTTATTAAATCCCTTCTCTCCAAGCCTGGGGGAATCATAGCAGATGGAATGAAAATGAAGAACTAGACTAAACTATGGAACAGTCTATAAATATAGGTGATACCATACTCTCCTCTCCTCCAAAATATAAAACCCTTCCAGCACCTCTCAATTATTTTAGTATCTTCCTTCCACAAAGCTCAAGGAATGCCTCTGCAGCCAGTCTGAAACTCATCTGTAGAATGGCTCAGACTGTGACCCTCCCAGAACCTTCACCTAACATTGACCTAACATGTCTGCTGTCCATGCCCGACCCTGTTCTGAGACTCATCTAGCTGAAGGTGACTTTGGAAATATATGTTAGATATTGTGGGAGCTGCCCCTGCAAATTACACATGTGCTTATATATCTGCCTTTCTGGAGACCCTGAATTCTTCTAAGTGAAGAAAAGAAATACATTAATATATGAGTTCCTACTATGTACCCAACCCTCTTCTAGTCTCTTTTACAAACATTCATTTGTCGCAGTTTTGTAGGTGCTTCCATCCCATTTTAAAGACGATGAAACCTTCATCTCAGAGCACTTAAGTAACTAGCCTCAGGACCCACAGCTGAAACATTAGAAAGTTGAACTTCCAACCCTGAGTCTTCCTGGTTCTAAAATAAGTACTATTTCTATAATATGTTGCTTTTCTGGGCAAATCTGGCTGTGACTTTAATTCAGCCATCATAGCGAAGCAGGAAGAATTATCTGGAGTAAAGAACCTTGCCACGCCCCTCATTTCAAGCCACACAGGTGAGTGGCCTGCATCAGGTGTGTGAAAGCCAAGCATGACGTCGCGCTCCCCTTCTGACTGTGGGCAGTGCGGTGGAGGGAAGAGCCCAGGAGCCTGGCTGTGATGGCCTATCCTACCCAGCAGGGGTCAGACTGACTCCAGCCAGAAAAGCAGGGAGGGGGCTCAGGTCAGAGCAGGGTTTCTCACCTCAACACCATTGACATTTGGGCAGAATAATTCTTTATTGTCTGGAGAGAGGAGGGCTTCCCTGGGGATAGCATGATAGTTAGCATCCCTCTCCTCTCTCAACTAGATGCCAAGAGCAACCCCCTCCCACCCAGTTGTGACAACCAAAATTGTCTCCATTGTCAAATGTCTCCTAGGGGGCAAATTGTCCCCAGCTGAGAACCAGTGGGTTAGAGAATAAGAAGATAATGGAACATAGGACTCTAGCAGATGAGTTACCACTAATCCTGGGGATCTAGAAACTTTCCGTTGCTTAGGGCAAAAGAAGAAATAAATAGACAATAGAAGATATTTACATTCTTGACAGTGAAGACAATCAGGCAATAAAATTGGGTATCTCTGGAGAACTGTAAAATCTCTTCAGAGATTTTTTTTTTTTTGTTAACAGTAGGAGACCCTTATTTGTATAAGCTAAATATGAGAATAGAACATAATAACCTCTCAGAGGCCCTTGAGTTTCCACCTTGTTTTTGACCACTGACAGCTTTTGTATTAACCAAACCCAACATCCTTTCTAACTGAGATTCCCCCTTCATCCGCAGGGACAGCCCGAGGCATCGTGATTGCTACTGGAGACTCCACAATAATGGGCCGCATTGCCACCCTGACCTCAAGCCTGGCAGTTGGCAAGACTCCCATTGCTACAGAGATTGAACACTTCATCCATCTGATCACTTCAGTGGCCATCTTCCTTGGCTTCTTTTTCTTTGGGCTCTCCCTTATCTTGGGCTACACCTGGCTGGAGGCTGTCATTTTCCTTATTGGCATCATTGTGGCCAATGTCCCTGAGGGGCTGCTGGCCACTGTTACTGTGAGTAGCCAGGGTAGAGGGTGGCCTCAGGGCAGACAAACCACTCCAGGGAAATGAAATCACTAGTATCTCTTTCATTGTCCAACCTGCCAAGCACAGAGTACCCCTGATGTGTATACAGATGTAAAATCATTTAACTTCCAAATTACTTTTACTTCCTCCACCCTTATTTTCTGGTGCCCTCTTTTCTTCTCAGTGAGAAAGGAAGTGAGTTGCAATGCAGGAAACATCAGATTATAAGTCTCGGGGAGTGAATTCCAGTCCTGGCTGGTGAACTTGTCCAAACCACTTACCTCCGGGCCTCAATTTATTCATCAATTTATAGAGGGAGATTGATTTAGAATCATAGAATCTTATTGGAAAGGACTGCAAAGCCCATATAAATTCAACTTTCCAGCCAATGCTGACTCTCCTGCACAAAGTCCATGGGAGATCGCGCCCTTTTGTCCCAGCTCATTTCATATTTGGGTTCTCTAGTTTGATTGCATTGTGTTGAGCAGAAATATAATTTTGTGTTTGGTCCCAGTTTTCCCATCTGAAGAAATACAATTCTCTTCTACAAACCGCCCTTTAGATTTTTTACAGTAGCCACTATGTTTCCTCAAACTCTCCAGGAAGGAGGTGAAATAATAATTTTTTTCCCTTTGCCATCTGACATGGTCTTCAAGCCCCTTGTCTTGCTGATCACCTGTTTGGGGTAAAATAGAAATGAGAATAATATTCGGGGTGAGGTTGGACTAGCACAAAACCACCAGGACTAGTGATGTGTAAATAAAACATAACCCCATGATTAGAATTCTGCACTTACATAACCACATCCTAAGAATTCACTAGCTTATAACACAACCTTGTCACACACCTGACTTTTATTGAATATATGGGCAACATAATTTATGATCCATAAAAATCTGATTTAAATGATTTCTTGACTCCTTTTTAGTGCTGCAATATTTCTTCTCAACTTCATCATTCTCTCCATTGTTCTTTGTTTTTGTTGTTTTTTTTTTGGTTTTTTGTTAACTATAGGTACAATCTCCACTCCATACATAACATTTTATGCCACAATAAAATATTAGCTATCATATGGTCCTTGGAAAGACTAAACTTGAGAAAGAAGGGTGACCTAAACTTGAATAGAAAAGATAAAAGGATCATAGAGGGTGGACTATTTCATGGAAAATAAGGAGCTCATTCTTTATGATGCCCTGATAAAGGAATACACTCTAGTCTTAAAACTCTGCCTTGAAGCACAAACCAACATCACTTTCTTAATTTCCTTTACTGTAGCCATAGATGGAGGTTTTGTTTGTTTTTTTAAACTAGGTAGGAACATAAGGGAAATTAGTACAAAACATTAAAATAGAAAAAAAAATATCAGATTTCCAAAACACAAAGTGGTGTTAGTTAGTAGCCGATATCACCTCACCATTTATTCTCTTGCCTCTTCATGGCCCAGGTGTGCCTGACGCTGACAGCCAAGCGCATGGCGAGGAAGAACTGCCTGGTGAAGAACCTGGAGGCGGTGGAGACTCTGGGCTCCACCTCCACCATCTGCTCGGACAAGACGGGCACCCTCACCCAGAACCGTATGACCGTCGCCCATTTATGGTTCGATGGGACCATCTGTGAGGCCGACACGAGTGAAGAACAGACTGGTGACTAGTGGCATGGGTGGGCCACGAGTGAATGGATTTGGGGGAATGTGATGAGGGAATGGTGAGTTCAGCTGGAAAGTGAGTGAGAGGAGGAAGGTGTGGGCCAAAGATGATGTCTCTGTGAAGTTTTGGGGTACAGACAGGATGGAAATAACTCCCTGCTTTAAACTTTCTTCTCCCCTGCTCACAGTGTGTTTTTTCTCCCTAGGGAATGCAGTTGACAAGGGTTCTGATACCTGGTTTGTCCTGGCCCGAATCGCTGGCCTCTGCAACCGGGCTGACTTTAAGGCTAATCAAGAGGCCCTTGCCATAGCTAAGGTGTCAGGCCTAAGGGGGTAGAGGGTAGCTTAGTGTCCAGGGTATAACCCACCTCCCAAAAAAATCTCTTTCCTGATGCTCAGTGATTTCCCCAGGCATTCCCTCTCCACTCTGTCCCTTTCCTTGTCCCTCTCCTTGTCCCTCTCCTTGTCCCATGGGCTTACAAACAAAACCCCATTCTGGCAGCGGGACACTGTAGGGGATGCTTCTGAGTCAGCCCTCCTCAAGTTCATCGAACAGTCCTGTGGCTCTGTGAAGGAGATGAGAAGGAAAAACCCCAAGGTGGCAGAGATTCCCTTTAATTCTACCAACAAGTACCAGGTACAGACCCGACAAAGATTGGAAAACCATGGGGGTGGGGTGTGCTTGTCTTTTGGGAAAACAGGTCATCAACCTCACCTCTGAGCAGTAGGAGAGAGACAGTGGATAACCAGCATCCCAACTGGAAAGAAGGCTAGCCTCAAGAGAAAGTAATAAGCAGGTGCCAGGAGCAGGTGATAAAGGGAGAGGTGTTCAGCCCTAAGCAGAGCTCCAGACTACACAGCTTGTGAAGAGAGCAAGTCATAAAAGGCTCTCTGAAAGCTGGTAGATGAAAGTCACGCCACAGTCCCTGCAGCTGTTAGGAGGCATCTCTGTGACTACTCTGAGATTAGCCACTGCAGAATAAGGTTGTATTTATAAGACACTTCCCGGACACGTCTTATTTCATTAGTCATCTTTAAAAAAAATTTTTATCCCATGCCTGCAGTTCTAGCAGCTGCCATCAGATAGGTGATTAGGGGTCTCCAGTGTGTTAGTGAATTTCATTTCCCAGGAGCATTTTGTCTGTTGTCCAGGGAGGAGTTGCAAGGGAAAGAGAAATGCTGAGTGAGAGACACTGGTGGTGCTAACAACAAAAGCCATGAGAGGCCCTGGCCAGTTTGGCTCAGCAGTAAGAGTGTCAGCCCGTGGTTGTGGGTTTGATTCCCGTCAAGGGCAAGTACCTAGGTTTGATCCCCAGTCCTAGCTGGGATCGTGTGGGAGGCAATCAATCTATGTGTCTCTCCCACGTCGGTGTTTTTCTCTCTCTCCCCCTCCCTCCCTCCTTTCCACTCTATCTAAGAAGCAATGGAAAAATATCCCCAGATGAGGGAAAACAAAATCCATGAGAGGGAAAGAAAACACATGAGAATCCTAGCTCACTTTGAAGAGGGGGTCCTGATGGAAAGTGGGGAGTGGTGTCATTGCCATGACTGGAACTCTACCAGCTAAGGTGTGAGTTCTATGGGACAATTGTGATTTGCTCAGGAGAGTGGGATTCTCCAAGTTCATGCACTACTGTAAAGGTCAGACATTCAAGTGTGGTAACAGAGAAGAAATGAGACTCCCAAAAGTCAGTTTTGTATTTGTGACTTAAAACACACTTAATAGTCAATAGCCAAGATATGAGAACAACCCAAGTGCCCATCAATGGATGACTAGATAAAAAAGTTGTGGTTAAAAAAAAAACAAAAAAAACTTGTGGTACATATATATAATGGAGTATTATTCAGCCCCTCCCAAAAAAGTCTCACCATTTGTGATAGTGTGGATGCGCCTAGAGTATTATGCTAACTGAAGTCAGTCCGTCAGAGAAAGAAAATACCATATGATTTCACCTATATTTGGAAACTCAAGAATAAAATAAACAAAATTGAAACAGTCTCAAAGATACAGAGAACAGACAGTTGCCAGAAGGGAGGGGCTTAGGGGCCTGAATGAAAATGGTGGAGGGATCAAGAAATACAAATTGGCAGTTACAAAATTGTCAGACCATAGGAAATATAGTCAATAATATTACAATAGCTGTGTATGGTGCCCAGTGGGTACTGGATATGTTGGGGAGAACACTTTGTAAAGTATTGTCTAACCACTATGCTGTACACCTGAAGCTAATACAAAATTATGTATTTTTTTAATGATAAAATGAAGAGCAGAAATGAGTGTATGAACATTTTTAAATCATAAGAAAACAGTTGGGATAATTTTATGCCAATACATTTGCAAACTTAAATAAAATAAAATTTTTCTAGGAAAAGAAACAGGTAATGGTGCATCCACAGAACATATACTGATATTGGAACAATACAGAGAACATTAGCATAGCCCCAGATACCACGCAAATTTGTTTATCGTTCTATATTTTTATATTTTAAAGTTGCCTAAGAGGGTAAAGCTTAAAAGTTTTCATCACAAAAATATATTTGTAACTGAAAATAATAATAAAATAACAAGTGCTACATAGAATTCTAAAAGCCCAATCATCTATATTTTCACATTGAACACTGAACAAGTAAGAGTTAAAAAAAATAGATCCATCGTTTTTTTGTCTCAACTGGCTTTTAGTCGGTGTAATAAGATAGGTCTCATAGGCCCAAACTTCACATTCATTTCCACTTTTTTCTGACGTTCAGTGGCCTCACTAACCAGACAGGAATTTCGTGCTAGACAGGATCTGATTAAAGCCTTTGACCGGAAAGAATTAGGTACCTCTCCTTCTACATGATTCAAAATAAAAGCAAAACATAGCCACATTTGTTGGAATGTCTAGCAAAATAACGACTTTACCCAAAATGACTACTTGAGTGCTTTTTCTGAGCTACTGACTATCAAGTTCACACAGCAAAATCCTTCTGCTCGGCGGGGCTTACTTGGAGGAGGCAAGAGGCACCAGGAAAACCCTTCTTGCTACTTTCAGTCCATGCAGACGACTGCCTTAACGAGCCTGCTCTAGGGGTAGTTAGCGGCTTCGGTCTGCACAGGGTTCTCAGCCTGCTGGTCTGTGGCGGAGCTGGGTTCCGTTCCCTCTCTCAGATGGAAATGAAAGAAAGAAGGTTCTCTGTTCGGATATTTCCAGATTTCTCCCTATTTTCATCTGTAATTTTCGATCATGTGATTTTTCTGTGACCAAGTTAATAGTTTACATAGACCTTGCTGTCATCTTCAATAATCTCCAATAAATAGTCCACAAATAAGTATTGAGCCCTCAAAATTAAGCCTTTTAAACCTTTACAGCTTCTGCTTACAGAATTTAAGGTTTTTCCTCTTCAGTGCTTAAGCATATTCTGAATATAACTGAACAGTTATTTTAAAGTTTCTAGTAGAACCGTTTTGACCACGTTACACATGGTTTCCCACCTTGCTTGTCCTTTGGGCCGTGAAGTCTGGTCTCCTCTGCACCAGCTCATTTCCTTTCAACGTGCCAATTTTGTTACCCAACAGGCTACATAGCAGGAATTTCCTGTGGATCATAGGAGGAACCTCATAGATAATACTTTTTCACAGATCAAAGATCAAGGGAAAATGCAAACCAAAGTTGACCTTATTTCTCTCTCCTCCTGTGTTGCGTCCTCGGGTTTCCTTCAAGAACATGCCCTTCTCTCCCCGCACCAGCCACCCTGACCCTGACCCTCACATTCAGCCACCCACCCTCTCTCATACCATCCAGCCCCTCGCAGGGGACTTTCTCATGATTTTAGGAGAGAGTGGAGAGGGGACTGGAATGACTAAGTTATGTTTTATTGTGCTTCACAGTTTTTAAAGCAATTTTTGCAAATACTATCATAAGAAAATGAAATAGGCCCTGCAGATGCTTTTACGCTTTATCAAAGGCACTGGGGTTGTGAGAAGTCTAATGGATTTACCTGAGGTCATGAAGCATTCAGCTGGCTCTAGACATGGGTCGCTGGGCTCCAGGCTTTCTCTCCTGCCCACTCTGCCCTCTCTAGCTATCCAGGTAGAGAGGAAGCAGCGAGAGTGAGTGCGCCAGCTTCTGCCCTCAGCTGCCAGTGGGGCTGAGAAGATAGAGACTTATGTGCAAATAAAACCATGCTGGATGCTCCTGGAAAGGAGAGGGATGGACTGACCCTGAGTCCGATTTGACTGGAGGGAGGGTGCGGCATTGGGGTTCGGGCACAAAGGAAATGGAGGGGCATAAAACAGGTTGCCTGTCTGTTTAACCCTCAAAAACCTTTCCCTAGCTTTTTTGCCCTGACCCTGCTCTCTCTCCTGTTCCACCAATGCTATCTCTCCTCTCCCTAGATGTCCATCCACCTGCGAGAAGACTCTCCCCAGGCCCATGTGCTAATGATGAAGGGGGCTCCTGAGAGGATCTTGGAGTTTTGCTCTAGTTACCTTCTGAAGGGGAAGGAGTACCCAATGGATGATGAAATGAAAGAAGCCTTCCAAAATGCCTACATGGAACTGGGAGGCCTGGGGGAACGCGTGCTAGGTGAGGGGGCTATGGGAGAAGCCTTTGCAAGGATGGTATCAAAGTGGTTCTGATTGATGGGGTCAAAAATCTAGGATGTTGGGATAAGAGGGATAGGGACATACATAGCTAAATGGCTATTGGTCCCTTCTGTCTTTCTTCAGGGTTCTGCTTCTTGGATCTGCCTACCACTTTCTGCAAGGGATTTGAGTTTAATACAGAAGAAATCAATTTTCCCATGAGCAACCTTTGTTTCGTGGGGCTCATATCCATGATCGACCCTCCCCGAGCTGCAGTGCCCAATGCTGTGAGCAAGTGTCGCAGTGCAGGGATTAAGGTAAATTCTTAACCACCCCAGAAGCCCCACAGGTCACCGATTGGGACAACAGTAGAAAACCTTGCATAGAGTTGGTTTTTAATAATCGTGGTTTAATTTCTGTTTCCTTCAGCTTAGGATTTTTAGTCTTAAGAAACTAGTAGTAAGTGTCCTCTATAGTTAGACTCCTGTCTTTCATTGAAAGTTAGAATCATCAAGGGAACTTTAAAAATCAGATGCCTCAGCCACATCCCAGACCCATTACATTAGAAATGCTCAGGTTGAGACCCACACACCTGTACTTTTTAAAAATTATTTTATTTTATTTTTTAAAGCAGTTGGATGGTGGTGGTGTTTTGTTTTTGTTTTTTGTTTTTTTTTTCCCTTTATTTATTTTTTAGAGAGAGAGGAAGTGAGAGGGAGAGAGAGAGTGAAACATCAATGAGAGAGAACATCAATTGGCCGCCTCCTGCATGCCCCCCACTGGAGATTGGGCCCACAACCTGGGCATATGTCCTGACCAGGAATCGAACCAGCAACCTCTTGGTGCATGGATCAACACTCAACCACTGAACCACACTGGCTGGACAACCTGTATTTTTTAAAAATTAAACCTTTACTGTTGAGAGTATTACAGATGTCCCTCCCCCCTTACTCCTTCCTCCACCCTATTGCTTCCCTTCTCCTGGTTCCCATCCCATCCCAGGCCTTCACCACCCTATTGTCTGCATCCATGGGTAATGCATATATGCATGTAAGTTCCTTAATTAATCTCTTCCCGCACCCCCTTCCCTCTGAGGTTCATCAGTCTGTTACATGTTTCCATGCCTCTGTTTCTATTTTATTCATCAGTTTATTTTGTTCATTAGGTTCCACATATAAGTAATATCATATGATACTTGTCTTTCTCTGACTGGTTTATTTCACTTAGCATAATCATCTCCAGGTCCTCCATGCTGTCTCAAAGGGTAATAGGTCCCTCTTTTTTTACAGCTGCATAGTATTCCATTGTGTATATGTACCACAGCTTTTATTCACTCATCTACTGATGGTCACTTGAGGTGTTTTTAGATCTCAGCTATTATAAATAGTGCTGCTATGAACATAGGAGTACATGTGTTCTTTCTGATTGGTGTTTCAGGATTTTAGGGGTGAGATCACTGGGTCAAATGGCAGATCGATTTTTAATTTTTTGAGGAAATTCCATACTGTTTTCCATAGTGCATTGAATCTATAGATGGCTTTGGGTAGTATGGACATTTTAATGATGTTAATTCTTCCAATCCATAAATACGGTATATTCTTCTATTTGTTTATATCTTCCTCTATCTATTTTTTCACCATCCTGTTGTTTTTTAAGTATAGGTCTTTACCTCCATGGTTGAATTTATTCTTAAATATCATAATTTCTTGTTGTAAATAGTATTGCTTTTTTAGTGTCTCTTTCTAATAGTTCATTATTGGTGTATAAAAATGCCATTGATTTCTAAGTGTTAGATTTGTATCTTTCTATATTGACGAGTTCACTTATTAAATCCAGTAGTTTTTGGTGGAGTATTTAGGCTTTTTATGTACAATATCATGTTATCTGTGAATAATAACAGTTTTACTTCCTCCTTTCCAACTTTGATGCCTTTTATTTTTTCTTCTTGTCTGATTGCTGTGGCTAGGACCTCCAGTACTATTTTGAATAAAAGTAGTGAAAGTAGTCATCCCTGTATTGTTCCTGTTCTTAGAGGAAATGCTTTTAGTTTTTGCCCATGGAGTATGATACTGGCCATAGGTTTGTTATGTATGGTTTGTATTATGTTGAGGTATGCTCCCTCTATTACCACTTTGCTGAGAATTTTCATCAAAAATGGGTGTTGAATTTTGTTGAATGCTTTTTCTGCATCTATTGATATGATCATGTGATTTTTATCTTTCAATTTGTTTATGTAATGTATCATATTTATTGATTTGTGAATATTGTACCAGCCTTGTTTCTCTGTAATAAATCCCTCTTGGTCATGGTATATAATCTTTTTAATATATTGCTGGATCCTGTTTGCTAATATTTTGTTGAGGATTTTACATCTATGTTCATCAGGGATATTGGCCTGTAATTCTCTTTCTTCGTAGTGCCTTTTTCTGGTTTTGGAATTAGAATAATCCTAGCATCATAGAAATAGCTTGAAAGTCTTTCTTTCTCTTGAATTTTTTGTAATAGTTTGAGGAGGATACATGTTTGTTCTTCTTTGAATGTTTGGTAAAACTCCCCTGTGAAGCTGTCTGGACCAGGGCTTTTGTATGCTGGGAGTTTTTTGTTTTGTTTTTTTGTTTTTGCTACTGCTTCAATTTCATCAGTTGTTACCAGCCTTTTCAGTTTTTCTGATTTTTCCTGATTCCATTTTGGAAGATTTCATTTTTCTAGGAATTTGTCCATTTCTTCTAAGTTGTCCAACTTGTGGCATATAGTTGTTCAAAGTATTTTCTTATGATTCTTTTTGTACTTCTGTGGTGTCAATTGTTACTCCACTTTTTTGTTTCTGATTTTATTTATTTGGGTCCTCTCTCTTTGTTTCTTGGTGAGTATGGAAAAAGATTTGTCAATCTTGCTTGTCTTTTTGAAGAACCAAATCTTGGTTTCATTGATCTTCTGTATTGTTTTTTCAGACCTATGTCATTTATTTCCACTCTGATACTTATTATTTCCTTCCTTCTAAATACTGTAGGTTTTTCTTGTTGTTCTCTTTCTAATTATTCAAGTTGTAGGGTTAGATAGCTTATTAGAAGTTTTTGTTTGTTTGTTTGTTTTTTGAGGTAGGCCTGCAGTGCTATGAACTTCCCTCTTAAGACTACTTTCACTGTGTCCCACAAATTCTGTGTTGTATTTTTCTTTTCATTAGTTTTCAGGAAGTTTTTAATTTCTTCCTTGATCTCATTCTTTAATAACATGCTATTTAGCCTCCATGTGTTGAATGTTTTTGAGTGTTTTTATTGTAATTGACTTCCAGTTTCATGCCATTATAATTCGAGAATAAGCTTGTTATGATTTCAATCTTTTTGAACTTGTAGAAACTGAGTTTGTGTCCTAACATGTGGTCTATCTTTGAGAATGTCCTATGTGCACTTGAGAAGAATATATTCTGCAGCTTTGGGGTGAAATGTTCTGTGAATGTCAATTAAATCCATTTGCTCTAGTGTGTCATTTAGGGTTGCTGTTTCCTTGTTAAGATTTTGTCTAGAAGATCTATCCATTGATGTCAGTGGGGTGTTAATCTCCTACTATGATTGTGTGGCTGTCTATCTCTCCCTTGAAGTCCTCCAGAAGTTTTTTAAAATATTTTTTGGTGCTTCTATATTGGGTGCATATATGTTGACCAGTGTTATATAATCTTGTTGTACCAATCCCTTTAGTATTGTGATGTGGCCTTCTCTTGTTATGGCCTTCATTTTGAAGTCTGTTTTATCAGATATGAGCATTGCTAGCCCAGATTTTTTTTTTCATTTCCACTGCATGGAAAAATTTTTTCCATCCTTTCACTTTTATCCCATGTGAGTCTTTTGTTCTGAGATGGGTCTCTTGAAGAAAGCATATATATGGGCCCTGTTTTCTTATCCAACCAGCTACCCTATGTTTTACATGAGAGCATTTAAGCCATTTATACTTAAGGTTGTTATTCATAGGCACTTATTTGTTGCCATTTTTATTCTTTATGCCTGTGTTCTCTCTCTCTCTCTCTCTCTCTCTCTCTCTCTCTCTCTCTCCCCCCCCCTCTCTCTTTCTCTCTCTCTTTCTTCGTACAACAGTCCCTTTAGCATTTCCTGTAGTGCTGGTTTGTTGGTAGTAAACTCCTTTAGTATTTCTATTTTTATTTTGTGTCTGTGAAACTCTTTATTTCACCTTCATTTTGAATGATAACCTTGATGAATAGAGTAGTCGTGGATTCAGTCCCTTGCTTTTCATTACTTTGTCACTCCCTTGTGGCCTGGAGTGTTTCTATTGAGAAATTAGGTGACAGTTTACTGGGAGCTCCCTTGCAGTTAACTTTCTCTCTCTCTCTCTTTCTCTCTTTGCCTTTAAGACTCTTTCTTTGCCTTTAATGTTTGCCATTTTAATTATGATGTATCTAGGTGTGAGTCTTTTTGGGTTCATCTTGATTGGGACTCTCTGTTTTTCCTGGACTTGTATGACTTTTTCCTTCACCAGGTTAGGGAAGTTTTCTGTCATTATTTCTTCAGATTTAGTATTCCCTGCTCAGATTCTTCCTCTTCTGGTATCCCTATGAAACAAATGTTGTTATGGTTCATGGTGTCCAACAACTCCCTTAAACTCTTCTCCTGCTTTTTTAACTTTTTTCCATTTGCTGCTCTAATTGGGTGTTTTATTTTCTACCTTGTCTTCTAACTCACTGTTTGGGTCCTCAGCTTCTTCTAATCTACTATTGATTCTTTCCAGGGTATTCTTTATTTCAGCTATGTCATTTTTCATTTCCAATTGATTCTTATTCATGGTTTTTAGCTCTTCTTTCATGCTGATGTAGTTCCCACTGAGTTCCTTAAGTTCTCATTAGTTACTTGTTGTTCTCACTAAGTTGTTTGAGCACCCTTAAAACCATTAGATTGAATTCTTTATCTTATAAATTGCTTGCCTCCATTTTATTTAGTTCCTTTTCTGGTGATTCCTCCTTTTCTTTCATTTGGGGATTGTTTCTTTATCTCACCATTTTAGCAGTCTGGTAGATCAGGGCCGGATGAGTTGCACCAGGTTGCATTGGCAGGTCGGTGCATCCAGGGGCTTTGGGTCATGGTGGGGCCAGGTCTCAGATCCCATCCATTCATCTGAGGTTGCTGGTGGCTCCCTGCCATGGTAAGGCTGGTGGTTCTTGATGGCAGTGGCAGGTCTTGGCAGTAGTAACAGCAGGATCTGACAGCTCTCGGCTGAGGTGGGGCCTTTGTGGCCAGCAGCTCTGCCTGTGGCTCTTGTTTGCTGCAGGGCCAGGTGGACTAACAGCTGGCAGCTCATGCCTGTGTGTCTGGTGGAGGCACTGTTGGCATGCATGGGTCTGGTGGGGGTGCTGCTGGAGTGCATAGTCTGGTGTGGGCACAGCTGTTTTGCCCAGGTCTGGCAGGGGCTAGGCTGATGTGCCCTAGTGGCAGCCAGCAGCTCCCCTGCCTGAAGCACCAGAACCACCCACCCTGAGTTCCTGGCCAAGCAGATGCCTCCCCACACTCTTACCCACTCACACATGCTCACACATTCACAAACTTACCCTCACTCTGGTCTTGCCCACTACCATGTTGAATCTCCTGCTACACTTGCATTTTTAAAAAAAAAAAACTTTCCTAGAGATTCCAATGTGCAGAGAACTTTGAGAACTAGTGTCCTAGGACAGTGCTTCGCAAACTAATGAGCATGTGGTATTGACACCTTTTCTGGTCCTACTTGACATGCTAAACCCTAGACTTGGGGAGAGCAGGTTATAGTGGTGGGGAGGGGAGGTCATTAGAGGTATTTAAAGGATCTAGATGCTGTCTGTTAGAGCTGACTTTCTCTTAGACCTTTGATTGTTGGCAGTTTATTTGGTGGCAGCTTGGGCCATGCTAAGTTCAATGATTGGTCACTACAGTGGGAGCCAAGAACTGGATGTAAAAAAGTACTTTGAGTTAATTCCCTAATTATCACAAGATGTTTGGTATAGTTCTTTGCAGAGATAGCATTATTATAACACATCTGCATAGGATAACCCAGTTCTCCTAATATTTTCCAATGGTTCTATAAACTCCTATATCATAGTGTGGGAGATAAGTGGAGAAGGACTTCATCTGAATTTTTAAGCTTTGAAGTGGGCTTGTCAGAATGAGGCATAACATTGTGGGTGTGTCTAAAAGTGATCTCACCTGGGAATTCATGGATCTCTTGAGCAGGAAGTAACCATTGTGCTCAAAAGTGGGGTGGCCCAAACAGGAGACAAAGGGGTGATTTTAGCCAGATGTCCTCACAGCCTGAGGCAGAGTGAGCTCGTGAAAATCTGAGGCGAAGTCCTAGGGCTGGCCTCCAGCTAACAGCCTACGCGGGCCTCCGTGCTTCTTCTGGGCACAGGTTTATATGTCATGTTGTAGTTTCTCACTTCCTCTGGACCCTAAGCTGACATTTGGTAGACTTGGTGAAGAACTGTGAATCATCCTTTTCTTTACAGGGAAGTGAAAAACTTACCATGACAAAATATAACGCACACACGAGGGGTTGTCCCACAGGGTGGAGCCTTTCAGGGTCCACTCCATCATGGTGTTGATGCAGAGCTGATCAACACTACTAGGCTGCTGGAAGAGGCCTGGTAACATTTGCAGGGCAGCAACATTTTTACAAGAAATTTTTGTAGTACTGGTATTTCCCAGGTAGAAACATGTGCTCGGGTCTTTGGAATAAATGTAATTTTATTTTTTATTTTTTTATTTCTTACCCCAGGATACTTTTTATTTATCATCAGATAGAGTGGGAGGGAGGGAGGGCGAGAGAGAGAGAAACATCAATGTCATAGAGCCACATCAACTTGTTGCCTTCCACACGACTCTGACCAGAGCTGGGGACGAAACACAAGTGAGGTACGTGCCCTTGACCAGAATCCTACCTGAGACTCACTGGTCTGTGGGCCAATGCTCTAACCTTTGAACCAAACCAGCCAGGGCAGGAATAAATATAATTTTTTAAAAACTAAAATAGCCCTGGCCAGTTTGGCTCAGCAGTTAGAGCTTTGGCCCACGGACCAGAGAGTCCCGGGTTCAGTTCCTGCTAATGGCACGTACCTCGGTTGCAGTTTGTCCCTGGCCCTGGTTGGGGTCGTGTGGGTGGCAACCACTCTATGTGTCTCTCTCACATCGATGTTTCTCTCTCTCTCTTCCTCTCTCTCTCCCTCTCGCTCTATCTGAAGATGAATGCAAAACAAAAAACCTAAAATAAAACCCTGGCTGATTTGGCTCAGCAGTTAGAACATCCGCCCACGGATCAAAGAATCACAGATTCGGTTCCGGTCAAGGGCACCTACTTCGGTTACAGTTCGATCCCTGGCTCTGGTGAGGTCGTGTGGGAGGCAGCCAATCGATGTGTCTCTCTCACATCAATGTTTCTCTCTCTCTCTCTCTCACTCTCTCTCTCTCTCTCTCTCTCTCCTCCTTCCCACTCTATCTGAAAATCAGTGGAGTGAGAATTAAAAAAATAAAAAACTAAAGTAAAAATATTTCATTATGTTTGCCGCTACCTGAGGTTCTCAGTAGTACGAAGCTGCTTGAGCCATGCTATGAACCTGGCCTCCTCTAAGAACTGTAGTAAAGTGGTGAGGGCCTAGAGTAACGGTGCCAACACCGGAACGTTTCCCTCAGATGGATCCAATCTGGGGGAAGCGGGTACAAAGGAACAAGAGGGCAGCTTGCAAGACTGTGTGGGAACATCAGAGATACAGTCAGCATGAAGAAGTTAGGAATGAAATTCTTTTAATACTTGACACATTCCAGAGGCTGCTGTGCCCTTCACCTCAAAGGGAGCCATTCTCTGCAGAACTGCGCTCCTATTGTCTCTGTGCGTCTCAGTCTCTGCGAAACTGCATCCTAGGAACTCACTCTTGGGGTGACTGACTTTGTGTTTTTATTTCCCCAGCCTGGCATGGAGGTGGTACTGCCAGAAACTACTACAGAACAGTCCACTTGAATGGTCAGACTGGACTGGGTACTAGGGATGTATCCAGACGACACCACACCTGTCCTATAGGCCCCAGGTCACTACTGATGAGCTACTGGGTAGCCCGGGGCACTGTGAGCCTGAAAGGCATCATTGTGGGCTCAGTCTGAACCTCATCTGAAATCTTCTACTCTTCTGGGCAGTTCCTTTCCAGAGCCTCACCAGTTATCCCACGGCCCACAGGCCAAGCATGATGAGGGTCCAGTGCCCCAGAACAGAGCCAGGGTGCTCGAAATCAGTGGTACGAGGAACAACTCAGTGTGACTTTCCTCGGTCTCTGGAAGCACAGCTTAGGCACACTTTGCTGTCTTCTTCCAGCCAGCCAGGGTGCTGTAGGGAATGATGCAGGCTCATAGGAAAAGTCCCGGAAGGCTTATCTCCATGCTCGAAAAATAAACAGACGGACATTTCCAGGACCTCTGTTCCCAAAAGTAGTTGGATAGTCCAGTCAGTCAAACGGTATCCTTCTCTCTCCCTCAGATCCTGAGAAACTGGGTACTTGGGAACCATGGGCATTGGTTCCTAGACAGCAATCATCCCTTCATACCTTCATCTGATCATTGTTTGTTGACGGATTATTCTGTGCTAGGCAGTGTGCTAAGGCAGGACACTTAACAAGGAGCCATAGACATGGCCTCACCCTCACAGAGCTCTCCCCAGGGTGTGAGAGAGATGTATAAGCGATCATCATACGGTAAGGAGAGAATGCTAGGGAAGGAATGGGACTAGAGCTGGTAACAGCTATGCAAAAAGGGGCTGAAATTTAGGGGTACACGGAGGCGATGGGAAAAAGAGAAGAAGGATGAGGATCAGAATGTGCCTGGGCCTAGATGAAATTTTGCTTGGCAGATGGACTATTGCAGACGTTCCTTTATTACCACTTGTTCTGTGCATCGGTATTTCTGTCTCTGAGCTTAAAGATGCAGAATAGCTTCTGAAGCAATTAAATGAAAATCTGAAAATAGCAATATACCCAAATCTCTCCTTTATTTATTCCTGGAAAAACTAGAACCCAGCTTGCCTTGGTTTATGATCTTATGATTTTTACCTATCCCCAAGGGTTGAAGCACACGTGCTTAGGAATGAGCTACTAAAACCTCTGTGCAACGAAAGTAGTGATCTATTAGCTCTTAGAGAGAAAGGTGAGGGACCCAGGACCTCTCTGAAGATAATTCTACTCCTCTGCTCTCCTTCCCAACCCAGGTGATTATGGTAACAGGGGATCATCCCATTACAGCCAAGGCCATTGCCAAGGGTGTGGGCATCATCTCAGAAGGCACCGAGACAGCAGAGGACATTGCTGCCCGGCTCAAGATCCCTGTCACCCAGGTCAATAGCAGGTGAGACCCCCTAAAGAATTCAGATCTGCCATGCTTTCCTCTCTCATCAGCCTGCCCCACCCAAATCCCACTTACTAAAGTTCTTAAAGAATTCTTCAGTAGGTAGGATGTGCAGGGTTTACATAGTACAAAGTAAAATGTAATAGGAAAATGACAAAGCAGGTTTTCAGAAGATGTGGAACAAGGAAAGAGGCAGAGAAAAGGGAGGAGTGGTTGGGGTAGGGAAGAGGAGATGGAATGTGTCAATCTGGGGACAGTCAGTGGTTGGGAACAAGTAGGGAGACTGGGTTGAAAGGAAAAACAAGGAGCTTATAGTAAAGGTTGGTTAGGGGGTACCTGATGAATTCTCAACACTCTGAACTAACCATTTAAGATTCTTTTTGTCCCCTGGCCAGTGTGGCTCAGTTGGTTGGAACATCGTCCCATGTACCGAAAGGTGGCCGGTTCGATTCCTGGGTTTGATTTCTGGTGGGGGCACACACGGAAGGCAACCATTCAATGTTCCTCTGATACATCGATGTTTTTCTCTCTCTACCTTCCCTTCTCTCTAAAATCAGTAAAAAAAACAAACAAACAAACAAAAAATATCCTCCAATGAGGATTAAAAACAAAAAATAAAATTCATTTTGCTCAGGGATGCCAAAGCCATTGTGGTGCATGGTTCACAACTAAAGGATCTGAACTCAGAACAGCTTGATGAGATCCTCCAAAACCACACGGAGATTGTGTTTGCTCGGACATCCCCTCAGCAGAAGCTCATCATCGTAGAGGGATGTCAGAGGCTGGTAAGGAGACAAAGGGCCTTAGGAAATCTGGCAGAAATCACGTGGCATAGCCCAGGCCTAAACCAAGCAGAGGAGCGTGTACTGGGCCAGAGGAGACTCTAGAGTATCCCATTGTGAACCCCAGAGATGGGCATCAGTTTGGGGTTTCCCTGAGAGTGTTAATATATTGGGAGGAGAAGGAACCTACATCAAGCTAAGAGACCTACATCAAGCATGATTATACCAAGAAACAAGGGATGATGAAATAAAACTGATTTGGGGGACTGGTCTTGAACCTGACAGTAATTATTTCACTCTCTCTGTGCTTCTCCCAGGGAGCCATTGTGGCGGTGACGGGTGACGGGGTGAACGACTCCCCGGCACTGAAGAAGGCAGACATCGGCATAGCCATGGGCATTGCTGGCTCCGACGTCTCTAAGCAGGCAGCCGACATGATCCTGCTGGACGACAACTTTGCCTCCATCGTCACGGGCGTGGAGGAAGGTGAGGAGGCAGAGTTGGGACTTGACCCTCTGACTCAGGTGGAGTTGGTGTGCAGTACTCTCATTCCCATCACCCATCACCCATTTCGATGATCCTGTAAAGATTAGGGAAAATCACTGTAAGACAAAATTTTGCAAACTAGATTCAGTTGGTACTTAGCGCATCACTATCAGGAGCCCTTTTGTATTAGATTGGAGGGAAGTCCAGATTATCTAGGGAGACTAGGACTGTGGTATAGTACTGTATCTTCTTTCTTCTCTCATGGAGATTCAAGCAAGTCCACAATAAATTCCAAGACACAGCCACAACCCTGGGACAACTTCACTCTCCATAATCTCAGGAGGGGCCCCCAGGGACCTGCTTCCTGAATGATGTTGACATGTCAAAATCAGTTGGAGACTGACCTATAAATTGACTGCATGAGCCAAAACTATTACAGTCTTTCCCAGAGAATTCTGGAGACAATAGCCATTGGTAGATGAGAGAACTCAGAATTCTGCATCCCAGGCTCCCTGCTTTCTGCCTGGAGCCATCTTATTAAAACCTATGCAATCCCACCCTGACCAGTTTTGCTCAGAGGTTAGAGTGTTAGTCCATGAACCGAAGGGTCGTGGGTTCAATTCCTGGTCAAGGGCACCTGGGTTGCAGGTTCAATCCCCAGCCCCCGTTGGGGTCGTGCGGAAGACAACCAATGGATGTGTTTCTCTCACATCGATGTTTCTCTCTCTCTCCCTCCTTCCCTCCCTTCCACTCTATTTAAAAATCAATGGGAAAATATCCTTGGGTGAGGATTAACAACAACAACAAAACAATTGTGCAATCCAGATAGTAGTAATAGTTATCATTTTATTGAGACCTCGTATGATCCTGACACTGCTCAGTATCTTGCGCAGGGGCCATGCTAATCCTCTCTGTATCGTTCCAATTTTAGTATATGTGCTGCTGAAGCGAGCACTGCTCAGTATTTTGTATCCATTCAATTCAGTACATTTTTTTTGAGCACCAGCTATGTGCCAGGAACTGTTCTAGATGTTGGGGCTGCAACAGTGGGGAATAAAAAGACATGACACATCCCCCTTCTCATGTCATTTCATTTCTAGTGGAACAAGACAGACAATAAAGTGAAATAGCATAGTATATTAAAAGAAGATAAGTGCTCCTGGCTGGTGTGGCTCAGAGGCTGAGCGTCGGCCCATGCACCAAGAGGTCGCCAGTTCAATTTTCGGTCAGGGCACATGCCCAGATTGTGGACCAGATCCCCAGTGTGGGACATGCAGGAGGCAGCCAATCGATTTTATCTTTCATCATTGTTTCTCTCTCTCTCTCCCTCTTCCTTTCTCTCTCTCTAAAATCAATAAAAGAAAAAATTATTTTTAAATAAAAGAAGATAACTACAATGGGGGGAAAAAGGAAGGGAGTTCAGGGAGAGATTACAGTTTTTTTGTTTTGGGGGGGGTTTTTGTTTGTTTTTAATTTTTTTTTCTTTCTTGATTTTAGAGAGAGTGAAAGAGAGAGGGAGAGAGAGAGAGAAACATTGATGAGAGAGAACATCAATTGGCCACCTCCTGCATGCCCCCCACTGGGGATCGGGCCCACAACCTGGGCATGTGTCCTGACCGGGAATTGAACCGGTGACCTCTTGGTGCATGGGTTGATGCTCAACCACTGAGCCACACCAGACAGCGATTACAGTTTTTGGAAGGGTCATCAGGGAAGGAATCAAGCCATCTTACAACACAGGAGGAATGCAGTTCAGAGAGGTGAGGATACCCAAAGTCACATGCCAGCTATTGCAGAAAATGGGATTGGAACCCAAGCCCAGGTTCTTTCCATTTCATCCTTAACCTTCTAATGGCTTTTATACTGGTGTTCACAAACATCTCTAAGTGTGTTTGTTTGTTTGTTTGTTGTTTGTTTGTTTGTTTTTGCCTGAGGATATCCAATTGTTTCAGATTTTCATTTTGAAATCAGGATATTTCTCCACTGAATTACTATGTTACTTTGTAGGTGTAAGTTATCCATATTTTTTTTTCTTTATAGATTTTAGAGAGGAAAGGAGCGGGAAAGAGAGATAGAAACATCGATGAGAGAGAACATCGATTGGTCGCCTCCTGCATGCCCCCTTCTGGGAATCTGGCCCACAACCTGGGCATGTGCCTTGACCAGGAATCAAACTGGCAACCTCTTGGTGCATGGGTGGACACTCAACCACTGATCCACATGGGCCAGGCAACATCTCTAAGTATTAACCAGTCCCAACCCTGCTTAATTTTCAAAGCAGATGATATTAGCCAGGTTGAGTCCAAGAACCAATACTACACAGATATGGCATGCTAATAAATGCTGGGTCTAATTAATAATCATACAATTTAGAAACAAAACTGAGACCACAGAGGCCTAGGACCTGCAGACCCTTTCATGGGTCATGACAGCGTTTTGTAGCGGTCTCTCTGTCTGGGAGCTGGTTTGTGGGAGGTGTGTCCTCTCTATGCTTCTCACAGAAGGTTGACCATTCTCCCTAGGCCGCCTCATCTTTGACAACCTGAAGAAATCCATCGCGTACACCCTGACCAGCAACATTCCTGAGATCTCCCCCTTCCTGCTCTTCATCATCCTCAGCATCCCTCTGCCTCTGGGCACCATAACCATCCTCTGCATTGACCTGGGCACTGACATGGTGAGGGCCAAACTGGGACTCAGCTCATGGGACTCCTGGAGATGGACTGAGTAGTAGGAAGAATCTGTGTACAGGGAGAAGCACAGAGCTCAAGTTACTTCTGGGTTTCCTTCTGAACTTTGTGTCCCCTATTACTCCCACCCCCCATTCTCCAGCTCCCTGCTATCTCCTTGGCTTATGAGACAGCTGAAAGTGACATCATGAAGAGGGCTCCACGGAATCCAAAGACTGACAATCTGGTGAACAACCGACTCATCGGCATGGCCTATGGACAAATCGGTACGGCCAGAGTGAGGGGTGAAGGGAGTGGGGAGTGGTTGCACCTGTCTCGTCATTGGACCATCTCCTTGTGGAAGTCAGGGAGATAAATTTTCTTAACAACAAACTGTGTTAGACCCTGGGAACACAAAGAACCATTGATCTGTGATCTGCCCTTGACCTAAAGTTCAGTCAGGAAGGAACAAACATACATAAAGTGATAGCATCTTTCTAAGTACCAAATAATGAGCATAAGACAGTACAAAGCAAGCAGGCTCACCAATCATAAGGATTGTCAGAAAGCCTTATGGAGAAAATCGGACTCAAACCTGATGTTGAAAGACGGAGAGTAGACTATCCAATGTATGGTTAAGTGGAGGGGTGGGGGACAAGAGGAGAGGAGAAACTCACATAGTCTGGTTGTTGCAGAGTGAATTAACCAGTTTATTCCTGATAAAGGAGTAGTGGAAAATAGGCTATAGGCGGTTGAGCCCGTTTTGAAATACACTTGAGAGCCACAAGATGTTTTTGCTCTTGAGTTGCCAGGTGCAGTAGGATGTTTCAGGGAACAGAATGAGGAATGGACAGGAAAAGACTGAGAATAGGAGAGACCATCCCAATATCTAGAGGAGGAAACACCTAGAAAAAATACAAATTTACAAGCCAGACTTGTGTTTGAATTTTCCAGCTTACTACCTGCATGACCCTGAACAAGGACTGAATCTTTTTTGTGCTTCAGTTTTCCCACTTATGAGATGTAAATAATAGTTCAGACTTGTTGTGAGAACCAGTGTCCATGGGTTTCTACACAGTACACAGCTCTGTAGTTAGTAGGCTATTGCTGTGGTCCAGGCATGGGGAACAGAGGTTGTGACTAAGAGGAGAGGACTTGATGAGCGTCCTAGCGTCAGAGGAAATGGAGAGGGAAGGGTTCAGCACTCACTCACTGGAGAGAGGGAAGAAATCCCCTCTGAGGTCCTTTCACATTTTAAGATTACATGATTGAAAGATGACTCTGGGTTAGAGTTTACAAATAAACATCAGGGCTTGGAGGCCAGTCCTACAGAAATGATGGCATCAGATCATTGGTGGAAGATTCTTCAGCACTGCAGCTCAACACACACCAACCCAGCTAGAAACAAGTCCCAGTCATCCCCTGTTCTAAAGCCTGCCTTTCGAAGTCTTTCTCTGAGCCAGGTTCCCCTGTTCTGTGACTCTACCACTCACAGGGATGATTCAGGCTCTGGCTGGATTCTTTACCTACTTTGTGATTCTGGCCGAAAATGGTTTTAAGCCTCTTGATCTGCTGGGCATCCGCCCCACCTGGGAAAATCGATACTTCAATGATCTGGAGGACAGCTATGGACAGCAGTGGGTGAGTAAAAGGGGTAGAGTGGTAGACAGGGACGAGTAAGAGTGAAGAAGTGACTGGGGTCCTGGCTGGTGTGGCTCAGTTGGTTGGGCATTGTCTGTACACCAAAAGGTTGCCGGTTTGATTCCCGATCAGGGCACATGCCCAGATTGTGAACTCAATCTCCAGTGGGGGGCGTGCAGGAGGCAGCAGATTGATGTTCTGCTCTCACATAGATGTTTCTCTCTTTCTCTCCCTTCCTCTCACTCTAAAAATCAATGAAAACTCTTTTCAAAAAAGAAGTAACAGAGAAGAGTGAGTTAGCAAATTTTTGAAGAGTGGGAGAATAGAGGAAGCAGATAGAGTTTATGTCTTATCTCCCGTCCTATATGAGCATTCTAACATTTGGCCTCGATCTTCAATCATGTCAGCAAATATCCTTCCCTTTGTTTACAATGACTTCATTTGTGTTCATTTCTACTATCTATCCTTACCTTCCTATATCTTTTGGCTTTCTTGGACCTGGAAGTCTTCGTCATGTCAACTTTTGGAGTTTGATTTTTGTTTTTCTACCTTCTAACCATCATTACCCAGAAATCAGTGCTGGGTCCTCTCTCTCATTATGTTCTCTCCCTCCATAGGAGTTCAAATAATGTAATTTCAAGTCCAAAAACCTATTTTCTTTGTATATCCCTTCTTTGTCATTCTAAACTTTTTTTTAATTTGAGAGAGAGGAGAGAGAAACATCAATTTGTTATTCCACTTATTTATGCATTCATTGGTTGATTCCTGCATGTACCCTGACTGGGGATCAAACCTACAACCTTGGCATAATGGGGCAATGCTCTAACCAACTGAGCTACCCTGCCAGGGCTCATTCTACGCTTTCTAAACCTAGGGGGTTCCTCTCTACAGTAGTCTTTCCGAACACTCAAGATGAATGAGGCCCTCTAAACAACATCATGTGTTTAAGAATTTTATTACGTAGGTTTTTTTGTGTCTGAATACTTCTGTCCCAAGTTCTAAGACAGTGCGAGGTGAGACACCAGTTATTGCTAGAATCTTGGTACCACAGAGGACACACAGGCGATCATCATTCCGTAAGTGAGGATACTGGGTTTGGAAAGATTCAGTGACTTGCTCAAAGTCCCACTGTGAACCCTCGAGGAGCTGGACTCGAGTTCTGGGCTGATTCCTGCCGGGCACTTTCCTATTTCACCATAGTACCTCCAACCAAGTGAACTGCAGGTTTCTCAAAAGTATGTTAAAATTTGGGGTGTTGAAAAGATGCCCCTCACACACTTGACTTGTATTAGTTGGACCCCATGAGGCCACCAGATGCCCGTGTTCCCAGCAGCCAACACTGCTCCAGGGGCCAGTGATGCCCTGCGTCTTCATTGTCCGAATCACCTCGCTCCTCAGCCCAAGCCCTTGTTAGTTTTATGTCTTGTTCCCATTTCCCTGCTGCCAAGATGCAGCTTGACATATATTCATTTACAATAAAGGTAATTACATTAGTACAAAGTAACATCAAATGACATCAAAGATACTGTAAGGTATTGCAAAATGGGTTGAGAATCATTGCCTGGAGGCATAAACTCTATGAAGGCAGGGTCTCTGTCTCCTCCGCAGCTGTGACGTGCAGATTGTCGAGTACAGAGCTGCCCATCCTACAAGTACTCCACGCACTGCTAGGAGCACGCTAAGGAGCCGATGGATCTTTCTAAGTTCGATACTGGACTCATGAATTTTCAGCCTTGGGTTTCTAATCATTTAAGGCTCTATATTTCCCTCCAAGTACAACTTGGACCACATTCCATGATATGTAGTATCTCATTATTGTTCAGTTCCATGTAGTTTCAAATTCTTGATTCAATCTACAAGTTATTTATAAACATGCTTTTATTTATTTTTTATTATTTTTTAATCCTCGCCTGAGGATTTTTCTTTTCTATTTATCTTCAAATAGAGTGAGAGGGAGAAGGAGAGAAACATCGATGTGAAAGAGACACATCAACTGGTTGCCTCCTACTCGACCCGAACCAGGGCCGGGGACAAACCACAACCAAGGTAAGGGCCCTTGACCGGAATCGAACCTGAGACTCTCTGGTCCACGGGTTGACACTCCAACCGCCAAGCCAAACCAGCCAGGGCTGTTTTATTTGTTAAAACACAGGCTTGTTTTCCAGCGTCATTTAGATGCACCTCTTCTGTGTTCCCGTAGCCCTCTGTGATCTCCCTCGTATAACTTACCCACTGTACTCGCATAACGTATCCACCTTCCCCACCAGACTCTAAGTTCCTTACATGTAAAGTGTGAACCAAAGAAATGAGTGAAAGGAGGAATGTTGTCTCCTGTCTGGTACCACCCTTCAGGCACTGCTCTCCCCTCTGGCCCAACCTGCCCTCCTAACCTATTTCCTCTGACTCCGCTTTTCTCTTGACTCCACCTTCCTCTCTCACACCACCCTTCTTATTAACTGAGTCCTGAGCCACACTCCTGCCGTTCGGCACAGGGAGGGGCCACGGGGATAACTAAGACACGGCGTATGACTCTTTCAGTCAGGTCAGAGGACATACGAACAACTCGTGCTTTGACATGAAAAGTGCTAAGGGAGGTATGAGTGAAAGGCTGTGGGAGTCTACACACTTCACTCAGCCTTGGGTCTGGGAAGGCAGGGGAGGGACGAAGCCTTTGAGGTGTGTCTGGATCCCTCTGACACCGCCCATCCTCCCCGCAGACATTTGAGCAGCGGAAGGTGGTGGAGTTCACCTGCCAAACGGCCTTCTTTGTCAGCATTGTGGTCGTGCAGTGGGCCGACCTCATCATCTGCAAGACCCGCCGCAACTCAGTCTTCCAGCAGGGCATGAAGTGAGCGCCCTCCGTGGGCCCGTGTCTCCCAAACCTGCACTCGGGGCCTCACCATTGTCCCTACCTCTCCCTCCCTGTCTCCAACATACACCAAAACGTTTTTTTTCCCAGAAACAAGATCCTAATATGTGGCATCCTGGAGGAGACTTTACTGGCTGCTTTTCTGTCCTACACTCCGGGCATGGACGTGGCCCTGCGAATGTACCCACTCAAGTGAGTGAGGGGGGTGCCCGTAGGGGGATCTCAGTGCCCAGGGACCGTGAGCCTGAGTAGGGAAGGCCCGGCTGGGGGCCACCTGGGTAAACGGGGTACACTCAGTGGTGTAGTAAGAATTGTCTGTGCTCTGACAAATGCTTCTTAGAGAGAGACTAGGGACTGTGCCAAGTGATCACAAACCCCTAGACATGCAAGTTTGCAGACTTACCACAACTCCCAGACTAGCATCTTTTCCTTTATGATGACGTGTGGTTAGTTGTCCGGAGATACTTATGGTCAGAACTGAAGTAATCACCAAATTAACCCAATGTGCATGGCTAATTCTGGTGTACTTATGCAAATGTGCTTTAAAGTGCCTCTGTGTGAATGAGCATACTGAGTCTTGTTTGGGTACCTTGTTTTGTTTGTCCCTCATGTTTGGTTTTGTTTTTGTTTCTCACATTAGTATATGCTTGTGGGAAAAAAATGCCATTTAAAATGTTTACAGAGGAAAAAGCAAAATTCCCGTTCCACTCCAGTCCCATTCACCTCCCCACCTGCATAGGTAATCTCTGTTAATGACTTAGTGTGTATCTTCCAACTCATTTTCTCTGCATTTACATACTTCACTCACTTTTCTGTCCTTTGCAGTGTTTTACATGATGCTTTGTATACCATAGGTGCTCAATCAATGTTTAATAAAAGAGATTGCCATTGCCCTTAGGTATTAACAATCCCAGGTTTGCATTTCTTTTTTTTTTTTAATTTTATAATTAGAGTTGGCATACAATATTATATTAGTTTCAGATGTACAACATAGCGATTCAACATTTATATTCCTTGCGAAACAGTCACCACAGGAAGTCTAGCAACCGTCTGTCACTGCACATAGTTACCCAGGTTTGAATTTCAACTCTACGGTGTGTTATTCTGGGACCTTGGACAACTTCTTTACCATTATAAGCCCCAGCTTTATCTGCAAAGTCTCCGTAATACAACCCAGGCAGACCGTTGCGAGAATTGAACGTAGAAATGCAGATAATGCACAGAGCCCGGGGCCTTGGGTCATGGTGGGTGCTTTGCTAAAAGTAACTCTGTTTTTGTTATTGATGCCAATATATAAGTAATAGGGAGTGCAGCTGAGCATTACCTGTTCTCCCAAACACTCTGCATATACCTTGACCATGAAACCCCTCGCCTAATATTGAGGTCATGCGTTTTGTGTGTTTCTCTGTCCTCTTTTCCTTGATTGTCTGAGCTCCTTGAGATCAAAGGCCACATGTCATCATTTTTATTTCCCCTGGACCACACACAAACACAGAATAGACATACGACATTGTTGTTGAATGAATGTGTGACTGTATGTCCCTAACTGTTTGTGTGTGTGTGTGTGTGTGTGTGTGTGTGTGTGTAAGGAACTTGGCCTAGGCCTGTGCTGTCCAGTATGGTAGCCACTATCTTTACAAAACTATTGAGCTCTTGAAACACAGCTAGTGAGATGGAGAAACTGAATATGTGATCTTATTTAGTTTTAGTAAATTTAAAGTTAAAAAGTGAAGCAGTGTTAAATAGTTTTCTATTAAATAAAACTTTACGGTTTGGGATGGACGACATTTTCCTTTAACCATTGAAAATTTGGAGTCCGACTTGAGATGTGCTGTGAGTGTGAATTTCGAAGATTTAGGATTAAAAGAAGAATAAAATATCTCATTAATAACATTGATATTGATTACATTTTGAAATGATAGTATTTTGGATATATTGGGTTAAGTAAAATATATTATTAAAATTGTTTCTTTTTACTTATTTTAATGTGGCGACTAGAAAACAGTACATGTGACCTGTGGCTCACAGCACAATTCATTCAGACAGCAGCCCAGGCCAGCTCTCTGTCATCCAAGAGAACAGATGTGGTTCTACGTCAGGCCCTCCCCAGAGTCCATCTTCCTGGTCTCTATTTATAAAAGAGGTTCAGAAAGAAAAAACCATCCCCATAATTGCAACATGAAGGAGTGCGTATACTCCCTGGAAAAAAAATTTCCACGCCTCTAGTGTCAGATAGACCTCTCCTGCTTGGATATCCCCCACCCCCTTGGTGGGTACCAGGCCTAGAAAGCAAAGAGGGTCTCCCTTAGCAACTCCATAAAGTTGGTACATAATCTGCCTATACCTCTGATGTGGCATTTCTCTCTCCTCCCTCATCCCCAGACTCAGCCTCCTCAAAGGCGGGGACTAACCCTGCACTCAGGGCCCTCCCCTGTCCTCTGCATCTGCCTTTCTCTGGCCCCTGTCTCCTGCCGCACTGACCAACTCTTGCTCCCTACAGGATAATGTGGTGGCTCTGTGCCACCCCCTACAGCCTTCTCATCTTTGTCTATGATGAAATAAGAAAACTCAGAATTCGTCAGCATCCCGGTGGTGAGGCTCCCTGCACCCCACTCTGACTGAATTGTCACCAATCTCCTAAGTAGCCACCCATCCCATCTGGTTCCTCCAGACCCGTTGCCCTTCTTCCCTCCTCCCTGCTGGGCTGCGCATGGACGCTGGCCCTTCAGTCCTCGATTCCACCCTCCTGCTCCTTCCAGTCCTTGGTGCCCTGAGTTTCACCCTCAGGCCTTTTCACCTGGTCCTCGCATACCCTTTGTTCACCGCCTCCTCTGCCTCCCAGTGCCTTTCCCAGCTCAGTCTGGTTTCTTCTCTTCCACAGGCTGGCTGGAAAGGGAGACCTACTACTAACTCAGGAGAGGAAGAGCTTCACATGACACGGGGGGTGTCCTGATGGCCCCATGGGGGATTGGGGATTATGAGTTTGGCGTGACATCTGAGTTGGGACAGAGAAATGCTAGGATGAATCACCTTCGATAAAAGAGACAGGCAATCTTGGGGCTGGGCTGATGGCACCATGGGCAGGAGGTGGGGTGTCTGACCGGAGCCCAGCAGGGAGGGGCCTCGTCCTGTTGGATCAGTGGCCAGTCTCGACAGTAAAGGTTTACACCCCTCACGTGGCCGGATGTGTCGCGTCTGATTTGGGGAGAGGAGATGATCCTCATGGCAGGTAGGTGAGGAAGGTCAGGGACCACAGCCGAGGCTGGGAGGGATCAGAATCAAACATCGCTGCCCCTTGAGGGCTGCCCAGGCTTAGATCACTCTCCCACCGACGATGGAGAGCAAGGACAGGACAGGTCAAGCTGGAAGCAGAGAAAAGGGAGAGGGAGAGAGGAGCAGCAGAGCCACACACTACAGGGGACCCCAGCACCCACATCCGGTGCTGGAAGGTGGACCAACCCAGCCCCTACTTCCATTCCTCGGATCTGCTCATAGGATCAGAGTTTTAGTGTAGAAGAGATCTTAGTTCATCAATGAAAAACCTGGGGTCAGAGAAGTTGCATGACTTGGGAAGGGGCACATGGTTAGTGGTGAATGTGGGGCTGAGGAAGGCACTGTAACCCCTGCCCTCCACCCCCTCCACCTCATCCCACCCCTCAGCCCTTTTCCTCCGCTGCTGCCTTGAAATAGAGGCTGAAACGAGGCGTTCTGTATCCCTGTAGGCAAAGCGCCCTGCTGTCTCATGCCCCAAACACCACACAAACTCTGGGCTCTGAGCCTGGGCCCACCGATGGCTGCATCGCTGGGGGTGGGGAGTCCCTCCTGCCAGCTGCTCCTTCCTCTCCACCCCTTCACTGGCTTTGCCCTGTGAGTCTGTTCATGCCCAGGCTTCTCTTAGAGGAGAGGACGGGCTACGCCCCAGAGCGTAAAGAGCGCGGGAGACGTGCTGAAGAAAGCTGGGGAGTCAGAGGCTGCCACCAGAAGCCACGTGAATTGTTTAGTGACTGCACTACCCCATCCACGGATTCACACAACACACATATTCTGACCACCCCACCCCGTTTTATGGATGAAGAAACCAAGATCTTTCTGATTCCAGAACTTGTGAACTTCACCACTTTTCAGACCGGTCTTATAACGAGGGCTGGGCCAAAAATATGCAAATGCAAAACAATGGAACGAACAGAAAAATAGGGTAGAGATGGAAGAAGGGTCACGGGCAGGTCTGGATGGCAGGCCATTGGCTAGCAGAGGGAGGGGCATTGTAAGGTACAGTCAGCCACTACATGTTCCCCTACATCGCCCCTGCCCCAGAGGCTCCCCCCCATGCTCTCCTCCCTCCTCCAAGGCAAGGTCTCCTAGGGACAGAGCTATATCAGTCTGGGGTCCTTCCCCCGCCTGCTGACACGGCTGAACCAGACCCTGGAAGATGGAGGGACCAGGGTGTGTGTAAATGAGGTACCGAGGGGCCAGCTCCTCGGGTTTCAGGAGCAAGAGCTTCGGGTGTCTGGTGGGTTAAAAATACAAAGGCCCCAACTCAGGGTCATTTGATATCAGTGGCTGAGCCCGCTGAGTCCAAGGGCCTGGAAGCAGGGGCCCGAGGGAAGGAACTAAGTAGGAAGACAGCAAAGCATCAGGGAGAAAAGGATGGGGAGGCAGCTAGTGGGAAGCTTACAGTGGAACCGAAGGGCCAAGGGCGAAGAGAAGGAGCAGGATGGGGTGGGAAGTCTGTCGGTTGCAGGAGATCAGGAAAGGGAGCAAGCCGGGCCACCATCGAGTCCCATTTCACACACTCGGGGGTACAGAAAGTCAGCTTCGCCGTGGACTAATGTTCCAATGTCTCTGTCCAAGTGTTTCCCCTCCCCCAGAGCACGGCAGACATGATGAACTGGGGCTGGACGTCATCCCGCTGTCTGCTCTGGTCATGGGGCTGTGGGCACATTCGTCACCCTCCTGTGAGACCAGGAGATGGGTTGCGAGGTCTCTCCAGCTCCAGCGTGCCCTGCCAGGTGACAGCTATCCCTCCTGGACTCACTCCTGCCGTGATCCTGAGCTTTTCTGTGGCCTGCCTGCCTTAGCCAGCCAAGGTCTGCCCCGCCGGAGCGTGCGAACGTTATTCCTCTAACGGAATGTCATGCCATCGCCTGTGTGCAAAACAGACACTGTCACTCAAATATCAGAGCCATCTCGGTAGGGTTGGAGGGTCTGACTTTGATCCATCCCCTCCATGATCTCCCTCATGCCTCAGTTTACCTATAAATGGTAAGCGCCCTGGAGGGCCATGAAGAAGGTCCTTCCTTCCTAGGTACACAGAGCTGAACTTATCTACTTGGCCCTCACCCCCAAGATGGGCTTCGTAAAGTTGAGCCTCTCCTTTCCAACTCTGGTTAGCACTCAGGTGCACAGAATTCATCTTCATCCTTGGTTCAGGGCACACAGCCCACCTTTTCACGGTTTCCCAGTGTTGATTTTTCCCCCTAGTGTGTATACCTGATTCTCCTGGTCAAAGACATGGAAAGAATGGCTGCCATTCGCTGGTCTCCTTGGGGCCACTCAGCCTGGGAACCTTCCTCTCCACTGTGCCCAGGAAACCGAGTCCCCTAGGATCAGAGCCCAGAGCACAAGCAGGAGGCAGCAGCCAAGGGCCTGCTTCATTCCTCATGGGCAGAGGCACCCCAAATGCCCGTCTCTCCAGGATGGATGTGGCCAGCACTGCCCCTCAACACCGTCCTTCCCTTGCCTTCCCAAGTTGAGTGTTGAGTGAAGCAAAGGAAACCGACTGGAACTCAGCCAGGTCTCCAGTCCTGGACACGGCTCCATCTTTTATTCGGAGAATGATCTCATCCGTGGCCCTGGCTCTTTAAAGAGAAATGCAAGGGGTCTCTTTGCTGCCGCCTGGATGGCATTTTTATTGCCCCCTCCTCTCTACAGGATCAAAGAAACAGACTTCACTTTGAGGGGGCTCCCAGGTTTTAGGACTTAGAGCTAATACAGTTGTCCCTTCTCTCCTGCATTATAAATTTAACCTCTGCCCCAGGGTATCTCCCACTTTTCAACCCATTTCCTTCTCTCCGAGTCCCCTGGCCCTCACTTCTTCTAATCACCCCAACTCCCCCCTCCACTAGCCCCAGTTTCATTTACCTCCGACTCATCTGGTCTTATTTTTAGCTCCAGCTTTTTCCTTTCTTAATATGGTGATGAGCTCTTAGGCTGGTGTGGGGACAGGGGCTGAGGAGCCCCGGCCATTGTGGGGAGGGGAGAAGAAGCAAGCTCTGGGGGCCTGGGAGCCGGGGAGAGGGGCGGGGTGGGAGGGTTCTAGTCTCATGGAGCTGTCCTGGCCTCAGAAGGTTATCAGTCTCTCCTGCCAATTTTGAAAACAAATTTAGACAGGACCAGGTGGGGCTGAGGGCTGCCAATCTCAGGAGCAGCTCAGGTTGCCTCCCCGCCCCATGCTCCTATTCCTCCTCCTGACCCTTTTTCTCTTGGCTCTGTTGACAGTGTCTCCAGGACCCAGCACTGTCCTCTGTCCACTGCCCTAGGCCGTTCCCCACCCCACCCCCTCTGTGAACCCCTAACTCAGGATTCAGGACCCAGGGGCCCCTCCCTACCCCAGCGAACCTCTTCCGGACCAGGGGAGACAACCCAGATCTCACTACCTCCATGCGTGCTGCAGACAGGATGGGGGCCAGAGCTGTGCCGTGCCCTCGGCTGGCACTGCTGCTGCTGGTGCTAGGGACAGCCCCGTCAGGGGTGCAGGGGGAGGAAGGGCTGGACTTCCCGGCGTACGATGGCGTGGACCGTGTGGTCAATGTCAACGCAAAGAACTACAAGAGCGTATTCAAGAAGTATGAGGTGCTGGCCCTGCTCTACCACGACCCCCCGGAGGATGACAAGGCCTCACAAAGGCAATTTGAAATGGAGGAGCTGATCCTGGAGGTGAGTGCTGGGGTCTGCCGGCCTGCAGGGCACACCCAGCCCCTCTCTGCGGCTCCCCCACCCTACCACCCGTGTTGCCTTTGAGGGTGGGATCCAGGGCCAAGGACAGTGCGGTAGGCCCCTGTCCTGACCAACAGGACCCAAGTGGTATGTGGCCTCAGCCAAATGAGAAACAGAGACTTGGGGACCCAGAAGTAGCACTGTGGTCAGGCAATGCCAGGAGAGGGGGCCTGCGAGGAATGTCTCCTCCATCTACAGGAGGGTGCTCTAGGAGGCTGGCAGTACCAGGTTCGGCTAGGACAGGGGCGTCCTTAGAAGGGGGACAAAAAAGAAAAAGAGAGTTCTTCAGGGGAAAGGGGAGATCTGCAATGCAAAGGACTGTACCCCCCAATCTACATTCCTAGCCAGAACATGCCCCCTCCCCATACATTTTAGGAGCAGCACCCCAAGGATCTAAACTGAGCATAAATGTCAATGCTATGTACATCTTGCATGTCATTTACTTCGTGGCTCACGTTTTCCTGGAGACCACCACACCTCCACGCTGCCTCTGCTTCCACTCCCCGTCGGCCCCTCTGGATCAAGCTGGATATTCTGAGCAGAAAATTCTTGCCACTGGAGGAGGCTTCAGAATCCTTCCCCAGCTTCTCTCTGTGGGAAGACTCTCCTCCCCTCCAACCTGGCCTCAGGCCCACAGGAAAGAGTGGCTATTGTAACAAGAAAAACACCTGCGCTTTGGGGTGATAACCACACATACCCCTCCAGGAGCCGACACATTAGCGGGTCCTTGTCCACGCGGCGGCAGCCCCTTCTCTGTCCTGGCCGCACAGATAGGCCCCAGTTTAGCTGAAGCTGGGAGTACCTCAAGGCAAGATACCAGGACCACAGGCTCTCGTTCCTGTGTGCCCCTGCCAGGCGCTGGAGCCCTCCCTCTGGTTAATGAGCTGAATATTTTTATCCTGAGTGCTCAGCATCCACGCCATCCACCTGCCAGCTGCCTCTATCCCGTCCTCCCGAGACTCCAGGAGCCGGTCTGTGTTAGGTGGAAATCCTCGCCCAAGGCAGAGGGGCAGGGACCTGGGGGTGACGGTCCATAGCCTCAGAACAGGCTAAGGAAGTGAGTGAAGGGGAAAGTTCACCTGGATGAGGAGGGCCTGGCCCGTGTCTCTAGTCCCTGGCTCTGGTCCCTCTGAGGGCAACAAGTCCTGCGCTCAGCTTTCAGACATTCCTCGCTCAGCGGCAACATGACTAATCCCCCCCCCCCCAACCCTGCTGCTCTCTAAAATTCTTCCCGTTGTGGGTCACTTGTGAGAATCCCAGGGATGTCACCCCATACTGGGCATGGCCTTTGATGAGGGTGGAGTGTGAGGAGCAAGGAAAGAGCCTCAGTCTCTCTAAAGCCAGGCTCCTCAGCATCTCTGAGGAAACAGGAGTATCACGCAGAGCACTTCAAAGTTCAACGTAGTAAGCACATTGCCCACGAGCAATAAATGTTCAGGCATTGAAACTGAGCTAAAGAACAAAAGGGTGGGACTGTGGAGAAGGTGGAGGTGTTCTGGGTCCTTGCACCACATCAAGGTCAACTTTTCAACTCCCCGCATCCCAAATGACCCAACTTGGAAGCATGAGGTGGAGAGGGGGTTGCTAAGAATTCCAGGGGCTGACTTTACCCTTCCCCTCCTTGCAGTTAGCAGCCCAAGTCCTAGAAGACAAGGGTGTTGGCTTCGGGATGGTGGACTCTGAAAAGGATGCAGCTGTAGCCAAGAAACTAGGTAAGGGAGGGGTGGGAGCACACGGAGGGGAAGCTGGCACGTGAGGCTGGACGGGCAGCCCTCGCATAGGCTAGAAACTCCACCATGCCTATTCTTTTTTCTTTTTAAAATGTAATCCATTTATTTATTTTTTAAATATGTTTTTATTGTTGTTGTTTTTTTAAGGGAGAGAGAGAGAGAGAGAAACATCAATCATCTGCCTCTTGCACGCCCCCTACTGGGGATGGAGCTCGCAACCCAGACATGTGCCCTGACTGGGAATCGAACCGGGACCTCTCAGTCCATGGGACAACTCTCAATCCACTGGGCCACACTGGCTGGGCGACCATGCCTATTCTGAAAGGGGGGAAAATGCTGAGATTGGAAGTTTTATGGCTGGGGGTCCTGGCCTCTCTTATTCCTTGTAGAGACCCATGCTCAAATCCCAGGAAGAGGTGGATGTGAGTTTCTTTCTGTGTTTTTCAGATAATTAAAAACCAGGGCTAGCCCAGGCTGGTGTGGCATAGGTGGTTGGGCATCGTCCCAGGCACTGAAAGGTTGCCGGTTGATTCCTGGTCAGGGCACGTGCCGGGGTTTCCGGCTCAATCCCCCATAGGGGGCGTGCAGGAAGAGCCGATCAATGTTCCACTCTCACATCAATGTTCCCCACTCTCATTCCCTCACCCTTCTGCTCTCTAAAAATCTATTTAAAAATTTTAAAAGCAACAAACAACAACAACAAAATAAAAACACAGGGCTAGGTGCTAGAGGAAAGGGGAAATCAGGGAATTCAGGTGAGGCTGGAGAGGCCTCAGCAAACTCCTCTTCCCACCCCTCCCCCTCCAGAGCCATGGCTAGGTATTATAGCACTGGCCACCAGGGGGAAACACAGGCCTGAGACTGGACATCAGATACAGATGGGGGTGGAGTGGTCATCTGATCAGTCACAGCAGAGGGTTAAAGGGCTGAACTGGCCACTGGAGTCCTCAGACGAGGTGACATGAATATCTCTCTCTAGTAGGCAGAGAACGGAGAAATCTTCCTACATCCTCCCCTAACACTCCCACCTGAGCCCAGCTTCTCCATGGAAAGCCCCTTGGGTCATGGGATAGACACCCGGGGAGCAGAGCTAAAGGGCAGTGGAGGTGATCGAGGCTGGGGAAGGGGGGAGAATGGGGTGCAGTGGGATTATGGAATGGACTGTGGCCCTGGATTTGGACTCGGCTCTGTGGGAAGATCGGGATCATGGTTCATCTCTGGCCCACTCCCTAGGACTAACTGAAGAGGACAGCATCTATGTGTTCAAGGGAGATGAAGTCATTGAGTATGATGGCGAGCTTTCTGCTGACACCCTGGTGGAGTTTCTGCTTGATGTGAGGATTCATTACCCTGGACCTAATGGCCTTGCTTTAAGATTTTATCTGGCCCTGGCCAGTTTGGCTCAGCAGTTAGAGCGTCAGCCTGCGGACCAGAGTCCCGGCCGGGTTCAGTTTCCGCTGAGGGCATGTACCTTGGTTGCATTTTGTCCCTGGCCCCGGTTGGGGTCCTGTGGGCGGCAACCAGTCGATGTGTCTCATTCACATCCATGTTTCTCTCTCTTCTCCTCCCCCCTCTCTCCCTCCCACTCTATCTGAAGATAAATGCAAAAATGTCCTCGGGTAAGGATAAAAAAAAAAAAGATTTTATCCGTATCCTCGACCAACCCCAACCTTACACACACACACACAAACACACAGAACCAGTGAGCACCTTCCTCCGATTCCCCAGCCCTCTTCTCCCTCATCCCTCTTCCGCCTGTGAGGATGGAAACTCACTCTCTTCCTTCAATGACCCCTCTTCCAGGTCCTAGAGGACCCTGTGGAATTGATTGAGGGTGAACGCGAGCTGCAGGCTTTTGAGAACATCGAGGACGAGATCAAACTCATTGGCTACTTCAAGAGCAAAGACTCAGAGCGTGGGTAACCCTCAGACTCCACCGTCCCCCTCCCTGGATCCCCCCTCTTAACTCACTTCGCAGCCCCTTTGTCTCCTAACTCCTCTTGCCACAGCCAGCTCCACCCCTGCTCTGTTCTCCTGCTCTGGGGGAGGGGGGTTCCCGGCGGGGCACCTCCAGCATTCCACCTCCCCCCACCACGTTTTAATCACTCTCAGAGGGTTAGAGGGGGTGGGTCTCAAAATGAATCCCACTTGCCAAAGCAGAACGAGGGGAAACAGACGGGAGAGGGCTCCTTGGCACCCCTGCTCTCCCAGAGACTGACTGGCACCCCCCTTCAGATTACAAGGCTTTCGAGGACGCTGCGGAGGAGTTCCATCCGTACATCCCCTTCTTCGCCACCTTCGACAGCAAGGTTCTCCACCCCAGAACATGTCGGGTCTCCCTCTCCCTTGTCAGCAGCCCTCCAATCCCCCTCCCAGAATCTGCGGGGACCAGTTCCCTCCCTACACACCACACTCCCCTCTCCACCTCAGGCCTCCTTCACCCCAAGATTTTAGAGGATCTAACGCACTCCTCTCATGTCCAACCAAAGCCCAGAAACGTGAAGACACTTGTCCGGTGTCACAGTGGCAGTCTGACCTCCTTCCTCATGCCTGCTCCCCCATGACACTGCTGCCCACCCGTAACCCTGCATCCCCTGCTCCACCCCACCCCCAAAGGTGGCAAAGAAGCTGACCCTGAAGCTCAATGAGATTGATTTCTATGAAGCCTTCATGGAGGAGCCTGTGACCATCCCAAACAAGCCCAACAGCGAAGAGGAGATTGTCAACTTCGTGGAGGAGCATAAGAGGTAGGGGCAGGGGCAGACCCCCGAGCAGGGCTAGAACCCCTGCCTGTAACATAGGATGGGAGACTCTCAGCCAACCCGGAGGATGCTCTCACCTTGAGATAATCCACATCTGGGTGCCAGTACTCATGATACACTGACCCTCTTCCACACTATTTCACTCCCTAAGCAGCTCTGAGCCCTTACACATGGAGGAGACTGTGGACTGTGGACTGTGATGCGTGTTGCATGCCTGTGGTCTGCCAGGAACTGAGAGGTGCTTTCTGCCTCTATCATTATAATTAATCCGTTTCGCAAACTCAAGTAATGAGGTTCTACAGGCCATAAGTGTCAGAACTGAATTCCAGCCCAGGTCTGGCCAGTGTGTGATCTTCCTCATACCTTACCCTACCCGTGGTTCTCAACAGGGTGAGGGGATTAGCGAGGCAGGGGGAGAATTTCGCCCTCCGGGGGATATTTGGCAAGGTCTGGAGAGATTTTTCGGTTGGGGGGGATGCTGCTGGCATTTAGTGGGTAGAGGCCAGGGATGTTGCTAACCATCCTACAATGACAGAACAGCACCCACAACAAAGGGTTACTCAAATGTCAATAGTGCTGACGCTGAGAAACCCTGCCTCAAATTCACAGTTTTCTCCTTTCACTGTACTTCACGGCTGGAAATAGCCTGTCATCAGTGTAAACCACACTCTCTCTCTTCCTCTGGATCGTGGTTTCCTTCATCAGGGAAGAATCTACACAGCACAGGGCTCAGAACATTTCAGACACCCGCTTTTATTGGATGAATAAGTAAATGAATGAACGAATGATTGAATGAATGAACAAATGGATAATCAGATGTTCAGTTCTTACCTTTCTCCCAAAAGTTTTCTTGCAGCTCCCTGGCCCACCCTCCGTTCTCCCACCTGTTTAAACCATGCAGTGCCCTGGGCATGGTGCCCAGAGCTTAGACTTTGCCAGCTGTCTGTTCCGGGCTACAGGCTGTCCGTGCGCTAGGCATGACCCACAGGCAGCCTCTGCTATGGGGACCCTGGGGCGGGGGTCCGTCTTGCCTACTGAGGAGTGACTCTGTCTGTTCCAGATCAACCCTGAGGAAACTGAAGCCTGAGAGTATGTATGAGACCTGGGTGAGTCCCCCGAGCCAGGGCCAGACCCTGGGGGAGCATAGGTGGCCACAGAGTCAAGTCCTAGAAGCGTCCCACCCCACTGTTCCTCATGCCTCACTTGTAGGAAAGACAATGCACCAGCAAAGGTTGGGGGCTTTTGTTCTGAAGAACGGGTCACATACAAGTTGATGAAGATGACAGGGGAGGAGCCACGAGGTCTAAGGCTGAAGGGTTTGCCAGAGGAGGTGTGGGGCCCTAGAGCTGCACAGGGCAGCGTCCCTTGGAAAAGGATCACCAGCACAAGAGTACACCTAATCCAGAGGCTGACTTTCCATACAGTTCAGGTTCAAGGACGACCTGGGGTCTGCTCTGGGCTCTCTGAGTCCAGGGAGGATAGCTAAGACCCTCCTCCTCCCCACAACAGGAGGATGATCTGGATGGAATCCACATCGTGGCCTTTGCGGAGGAATCTGATCCAGGTGAGGGAGACCTGGATGAGGTGGGGGCGGGGCTGTTGGGGAAAGGAGGAGATGGGGGTGTTTGCTAGAGTACAGGCTTCACTTGGGAGGCATTCCTGAGATGTGTAAGTGGCCTGGGGCTAGACATGTGTGAGGGAAGGAAAGAGATGGGGACTCTGTTCTCCACACCCCTTTTCTCTCCCCCCCACCTCACACTGCTTGTCTGTGTTCCCTCCAAGACGGCTATGAGTTCTTAGAGACCCTCAAGGCTGTGGCCCAAGATAACACTGAAAACCCTGATCTCAGCATCATCTGGATCGACCCTGACGACTTTCCCCTGGTAAGAGGCATCGCGCAGGCACGGCTGTCCGGTTAGGGCCAGGGCTGTGGCACGTTCTGAAGGGAGCTTGTTTCCGAGTTCCCCCAGGAGGTTATGCCTGCTGCATGCTCAAGGCACTGTGGGCATGGAGAGAGGGGGGCAGGATTGGAAGTGAACCCCAAGGGACATCACCCTCACGACTCCCAGAGCAGAAGCTGGGCAGGGAATCATGTCCAGGGTTGACTCCTTCTAGAGAAAACCCAGAGTTTTGGGGAGCAGATGGACACATCAACCCTGCATAGGAGTGTACACAATCATAGCATCAAAGCACAGAGTTCCCCTGTTTCGGGGGACAGCTTTGTTCCCAGCTTAATTCCCAGTGCGCAGCACTCTCCACAGAAAGACGAACTGAATGAACACACAGAAGTGTGAGGAAATTGGCAGTTGCTAGGTGTGACTCCCCGAGTTTAGAGATGTAGAAACTGAGGGCCAGGGACAAGTGACTTGTCCAACGCCACAAGGTCACTCAGTAGTAGATCCAGAATCAAAACAGGGTTTTCTCATCTAGTTTTTCTCGGAAAAGAGGAGTCAGTGCTCCTAGCTGGTCCTCCTGACACTTTCCCTTCGGGGATTTCTACCCTTTAACTGTTTAGCTCTACCTGTTCCTCGGGCCCTGCAGCTGGGCCCCTCCCCCATCTGCCACTGGCTCCTAGTGTTCCCTAACCCTGTGCTGACCCTCACACCCTCCTGGACTCATGTGTTCCTCGACTCCATTAAGGCGCCCCATGTGGTCTCTCCACAGCTGGTCCCATACTGGGAGAAGACTTTTGATATCGACCTGTCAGCCCCACAAATCGGAGTCGTCAACGTTACTGATGTAAGTTTCCTTCCCTCACCCCCCAAGCCCCAGTGACCCCCAACTCTGCTTCTCAGCATAGCTGGCTCCTCTGCTCTGTTAGGAGGGCTTGAGACCTTCCCAGAAGAATCAGACCCGCGCAGCCTAACCCTAACCCTGAACGCGGCCACCTCCACCTGTTAGAACTGGCTGCTCCTTCTTCAAAGCCCAGTTCAAACTTTCTCTTCTCCGTGAGGTCTTTCCAGATCTCCCACTTGGAATCATTTCTTCCTTAGCACCCCCAGAGCCCATTTGGTACTGAAAACATGACTTTCATATGGCTAGTTATGTACCATATGTGTCTCTTCTAGTAGACTTGGAGCTTTTTGAAGGCAGAAATCTCATTCACACATGACAGGTGCTTTGGAAATGTTTGTTGAGTTGCATTGCATCTTTGCCTTCATATAATTCTCAGTCTAACTATGGAGGCAGGCATTCCATTAACTACCAGACCAGATCTGACAAACTCAATAATAAAGATACGAAGAAATCAAAGTGATTTCTGCTCGAGGGATTCAGAGCAGGGTTAAAGAGCATGGCACTCGAAGTGGGGACTGTACAATGCAGAGGAGCCCTACAAGGGTAAGTTATGGGAAGTCATTTCCATACTAATGGAAAAGTTAGTGCAAAAGGTCCAAAGTAGGAAAGTGAATATTAGGATCAGAAAAAGGCAAGTCGTTGTTTATGGCTGGAGAGTTAAGAGATCTCTCAGGATGGTGCTGGGAAAGCAGGTTATAAAAAACCTTGAATGCTGAAGAGTTTCTGACTTTATTCATAGGCCATAAAGAGCCACCAGTGGTTTTGCGTCAAGGGCATGATAGAGAGGTCTGTTTTAGGAAGCTCAGCATGACAAGAGCTTGGCAGAAAGACTGAAGGGAGAAGACGTATTTGCCCATCCAGCTGTTCTTTCTACGCCTACCATCCCTGTTTTAACCTAGACCACTTCCCCAGCCACTGACAGGTGAAGGGAGGGGACAGAGGACATAAGGAAGGATGTACAGAGTCTATTTGGACGTACAGGTCCAAAGACCTAAGTCAGACGTAGCTCCAGTCCTCTGTCTGTGCCGTGTCCTAGGCTGACAGCATATGGATGGAGATGGACGATGAGGAGGACCTGCCTTCTGCTGAGGAGCTGGAGGACTGGCTGGAGGATGTGCTGGAGGGTGAAATCAACACAGAGGATGATGACGACGATGATGACGATGACGACGACGACGACGACGATGATGATGACTAATTGCTATGACAACTGTCTTCTTGCCCCACCTGCTCTCCTCGGGATCCCTCCTGCCGCCCCTGAGCTCCTCCAGGAATACTAGGTCATTTTCTGCCACAGAACCCCATGGGGTCTGTGTGCTGAGTGCTGAGACCCTGGTTCCCCTCATCTGATGAGGAAAGGAGCTACTTTTCTCTATACAAGCACCCAGCCATCTCCTCTGACTTCTGTTTCCTGTCCCACAATGTCCCTGTATCTATTATGTTTCTTCCATTACTCCCTAAACTCTTCCTTGTGATTTTCCTCTTGCCATATCTCTGGGCCCCACCTCTCCTCTGTTCCCTCTGCCTGTGCACTCTCTTTCCCCACTCTCTCGAACCCTGTGTCTGGGCTGTCTCCTCTCTGGCCAGGAGGAAGGGAGGGACTGTGTATGGGGCTGTATCTCAGCAATCTTTTGTTAATGTATTTGGGTCAAACAAGAGGCCTCAATAAAGGATCTGGGGCAGCTGAGCAAGTGTCTGCCTGTGAGGTGTCACCCCTGCGGCAGGAGCGAGCCAGCCAGAGGGGATGGGTTAGGTGTGAGTGCCTTTCCTGGGGCTGCCGTGCAGGTGGTGGGGGTTGGGGCTCCCTTCAGGCAATTATCTCAGAGAAGCTTGGATTATTTATCTCCTGCAAGTCAACAAGCCTTTTCTGAACACATGGTGTTTGTCCAGCACCGCTGTTAGGCTCTGGGAGAACAGAGAGTGCTGGCCTGTCTGTCCCCACTCTCGAGCTGATTAACCTCACGGGGAAGTCAAGACAAGCACACCAAACAATTGAAGAAACATACAAAGCAATATGTAATTAAGTGATTATGTGTTGGTTGACAGCATCTTCCCTGAAGCTCTTATTTGAATGTCAAGACTGAGCCCAAACAACACTTCCTTGGTGAGGCCTTTCCGAAGGTGGCCCCTTCCACAGCCCCCTCCTTTGGGTTCACACTGCACCTTCTCTGCAAACCTCTGTTCTAGTACTCGGGCGCCTTCTGTCCTAGCTCTTCATTTCCACCTGTCTGCCCTCACTGGACTGTGTGCTCCCTGCCGGCAGGAACCCAGGCCTTTGCCTGTGTTCACAGGGCCTAGCACCCACAAAGTGGCCCCTAATAAATGCTGGTTAAAAGAAGACACAAATGAATTGAAAGGGCTCAGGAGAGAGAGAGCAGAATGGGCTTTAATGGCTTCATAAAGGAAGTGAATAGTTTTCTAGGCTTTAAAGAATGGGATTTGAGCCCTGGCTGGTTTGACTCAGCAGTTAGAGCGCCGGCCTGCAGTCCAGAGAGACCTGGGTTCAGTTCCCGCTAAGGGCATGTACCTCAGTTGCAATTTGTCCCCAGGGTCATGTGGGTGGCAGCCACTCTCGATGTGTCCCTTTCACGTTGATGTTTTTTCCTCTCTCTCTCCCCCTCCCACTCTATCTGAACAAGAAATGAAAAAATGTCCTCAGGTGAGGATAAAAAAAAAAAAGAATGGAATTTGATTAGGGGCAAAGGAGTTGGTGAAGGGATATTTCAGGCCATGGAAATGTCAAAAGCACCAGAAGACTGTGTGTGTCCTTTTGGAGACACAGAAGAGACCAGAAAGACAAAAAGCGGAGCTTACGTGGTGACCGTGACATGCAGTGGTATGATGGACCTAGACGGTAGAGGTGTTTGAAATTAATCCTGTGGCCCTGGCCGGTTTTGCTCAGTGGTTAGAGCATTGGCCTGTGGACCAATGAGTCAAGGGTTCGACTGCAGTACCTTGGTTGCAGTCCCACCCTGGTCTGATCATGCAGGAGGCAACCAGTTGATGTGTCTCTGTCACGCTTCTCTCTGTCTGTCTCTCCCTCCCTCTCCCTCTATCTGATGATAAACAGAAAAATATCCTCCGGTGAGGATTTAAATAAAAATAAATAAATAAATAAAAAGACATTAATCCTGTGATCTGAGGAGGAAGGGCAAAATTTAATCTGGCAGTGATGGGCTGGATGGATCTAAGGAGGGGAGATGACAGAGATCCCAGAGGCAGGGAGCCCAATTCTTATGATCTGAGACTGTTACCATAATTGGGGTGAAGTTGGGAGAACAAGAACCCTAGTGATGGCCATGGGAATGGAGAGATGTTGAGTTTTGTGCGCTGCGGATCCCCCAGACCTGGGCCTGCCAAATTCCTGGTAGGAAGGGGTCACATTCTCGCCAGCACAGCCCAGGCCGGGATGCCTGTGAAGGAGTCAGGAGGGGGGGCAGGGGAACCACGCAACTGAACAAGCCCATAACTAACAGATGGTTTTCATGGATCAGGTATAAGGGTGTTGCTGGGAATCTTAGAGGATTTCTGAGTATGGAAGAATGAGACCTGAGGTTAGAAAACTTTTCACCCTCCACAGACAAATCCAGATATTGTTTCTGGAGAACGTGGCAGAAGTATAGAGTAAAAACCGTGTATCCATACAACTTGCATCCATTTAATAACTTTAATACACAGTATTAGCATCGGGCCAATATAATATTATCATGGAGCTTACTGTTGAGCATAGGTCAGTGGAAGGCCTGGGCTACACAACAGCTCCTGTTTTAAGCCCCATGTGGGCCAGACCCTAGAGACCGACAATTTCTAAATCTCAGAAGAACCCTGTAAGGTAGGCATCGGCGTTCCCATCTTTCCAGCAAGGATACCTGCAAGGCTCAGAAGCATAACCTGCCTGAGAAAAGAGGCAGCATGAAGCCAAGTCCCCTGCACCGGGTTGCTTCTGGAAGACCTGGAACTTCCACTACTGTAGACACGTCATTTAGTTTCTTCGCGTCTCAAACGTGGGTCAACGAGATAGATTTGGCCCTGCCACACAGAACAAATGACATCCATACAAGGGTACCTTAGGAGGGTGGTGTTACCATCCAGGCGGCAGCGACAGTGCACACTGGGGGACAGGGTGAAGAGCAGAGAGAGGGCTATGAAACCCCAAGCAGCAGCGACCTGAGCCTCTTCTAGGGGCAGTTTGGACTCTGGAAAGGAGGACTCACTTGTGGCTTCCTGAGGGGTCTCTACCAGGCTAAACCTGAAGGGGGGAGGCCAGGGCAGCCCCAGGGGCGGTCCAGACGCTGATGGAGCTCGGACCTCTTCCCAGGGCTGGACTCCGCCAGAGTTGAGGTGAGACCCTTTAGGCTGGAGATGGGGGTGAAAACAGATGCGCCCCCACTTCTTCCTTCCTTCTTTCAGTCTGGCTGAGACTCTGTGAGGAAAGCCCCTGGGGTGGAAGGGAAGTGAGAGGGCCTGGGCCGAGGGGCGGAGCTGGGGGACAGGCTAAGGGTGGCTCTCTCTGCAAGCTGTCTATGTTTGCATGCTGAGCTCACTGCTGCTCCTTCCCCCTAGAAAATAAAATGACATCATGGTGGGGGGAGGCAGTGGGTGGTATATTTGGGAGAGGTAAAAAACAAAACAACAACAACAAAAACACACACAAGGGGGCTGGCTGCTTCATCTTAAAGGGCGGTCTGCAGCTCCAGGTCCATTGAAGGACGCCCTAGTATTGTTTAGGGTCCCCACCCCTACCTTCACCCGCACCCTCCAAGGTGGATAGTCCGATTGGTCATTACCCACGACCCATAAGGTGGGGGCAGAGGTTTTCCCAAATACCAAGTCAGGCAGCTAAGAGGACCCAGAGTCCAAAGGCCTTCCAAACCCCTAAAATCTAACTTCCTCTGAGCCCCTCAGGGTCCCAGCCATGGTAGTCACCGTAAGGTCACCAGGGGAGGAGTGTGTCCCACAGGGAAAGAGTTAAATCTGAGAACTGGGTTTCGAGGTTCAGGGGAGAAGGCAGCCCCCCCTCCCCGGGGTCTTCCAGAGCCCCAGCCGCCGCCCCCCAGCGCCCCGCTCCCGCTCCTCCCCGGCTCTGACGTCACGCTCGCCGGGCGGGGCGGCGGCGCTGGGCTCGCTCGGCTCTGCGGGCGGAAGCGGCGCGGCGCGGGAGCCGAGGAGGAGGAGGCTCCGGAGGCTGCTCGGGAACCGGGACGCCGGAGTGCCCTCGCCCTGCGCACTCAGCCCGAGCCGGTGAGAGGGGCGGAGGGGACGTGTCGCCGGGAGGGGGCCGACCTGGGGTCGGGGCTTGGAGGGGCGTGGATCCGGACGCCGGGCAGGCGGGGAGCCAGGGCCCCGGGCGGGTCTGCGAGGTCAGGCCCCCGGGCCCCGTCCGGGCGGGGCGCCCCGAGCATGTGCCGGCGGCGGTGCGGCCGGCCGCCGCTCCCTGCCGCGGTCCCTGCTGGCCGGAGGCCGGGGAGGGCCGGGCCTGCTTCCCGCCCAGCCGGCTCGGCCGTCCCCTCTTCCTCGGGCTGCAGACTCCGCCGGGCGGCCACCCACCGGGCAGCCCCGCCAGCACCCCGCGCCCTCTCCCCGCCCCCTGCACCTGGGGAGAGGTGGGTTTGGCCAGGGCTTGGCCGGAGGGAAGGAAGGATCTGGAGTGTGGAGGAGTGGAGGAGCTAACGTAAAACCCCTAATTAATTTCATATAATCCCTGTCAAAACCGACAGGGACACACACCTACGAGAGACACGCAGCACACACGGTGACACACACCCATGTGACTCCTACACACGTCTCACACACCGATCACAAACGTCCCTGCACTACACATCCACCCCCCCTCACCCCCAAGTCTCCTGGAAGAACATCAGCCTAACAGGACTGCTGAGTGGGGGACGCTGCCCCCGAGTCCACCTTCATTTTCTGGGCTTCGGATTGCCCCTTTGAAGCAGTGGGGGGATTCTGGTCTTCCTGCAGGACAGGGAGGCAGGAACTCGAGGGCGAGTGAGCCTGGCTCTCTGAACTGGGTGAGTAAGGAGGGTCGGGCTTGCTGGTGGCCACCAGGCTGGCTGCTGGCTGCAGTTAGAGCCCAGGATTCTGGGAGTGGCCGGTTTGGGGGCATCAGAGTGGCCAAGGGATGGAGGAGGGGTGGAAGCGAGGGAGAGGGAGAAAATGAAAGAATGAGTGAGTATGAGTCAGCCAAGGATGGAGCCCAAGTCAGAGAGAGAGAGAATGAAGGGAATGTGTGTGAGAGGGACAGAGATGCAGTCAGGGAACTGGAGAGGGAGGGAAGGAGACAGAGCTGGTCCGAAGAGTGCTGGGCTATTGATGGCAGAGGCTCAGAAATCAGAGAGGAGGACAGCAGGATGGTGGCGAGATGTGGTGAGAAGTGAGACCACAGGGAGTTTGGGAAAACGTGCTGAATCTGTGTTTTGTTTCTCTGCTCTCCGTCTGGCCCCCAGGCTGTCAGAGCGATTAGCTTTAATTGCTCTTTCCTTTGTGGTTAAACACTGTGTTGGGGAAATTGCCAGATATGCCCGAGGTGCAGACTGCCCTGGTTGCCTACTTCCTCACTTCCCTGACACCTGTGCCCATCATGTGTGCACGTATTGTCATGCATGAAGAGAGCCCCTAGTCATGCTCTGCCATGCCATCCTCTCTGTCACACAGATCCTCACGCACAGCGCAGTGGGGACATCATCAGTCTGCATTCAGCCAACCAATCCAGCTCCTCCTTACCAGTTTACTCTCTCTACAGCAGGGAAGCTATTGCTTCCTAATAGAGTAGTAGCTCTGAGTATTCAGAGAGGGAACTGAGTCACAGCACCCAGGAGTCCTAAGTGTTCATGGCTACCACCAAGTGGGATAGGCGGAAAGCCCACTGAAAGGAAAGGGGTGAGAGACTGAGACCAGGGAGGGAGGAAATGGATAAGGAAGAGACAAAACAGAGACAGGAGGAGGGAGAGAGACACAAGCAGATGAGGGGAGTGTGGCACAGTCCCCACCCCATCAGGTGGCCCTAGTCTACCCTGCCTGGTCCAATGCCAAGTATCTCCATCTGGTCTTTCCTCTCTTAGACTAAGGGCCAAGGACTTCACACTGTCCCTGTGCCCAGGGGTGACCCATTTTGCCTCTTGGACTGAACTGAACATCCAGAGACTCAGGTATCCTGCCTCCGGTCATCCCAGGCTGATTCTGGAGTCTTAGAGCCCTGTTTTTCATAACAGGAATAAAGGTATCCCCCCCCCACACACACACACATAGAAGCTGAATGGAAGATAAGAAGTCAGTTGAGTATATCATGAAATAATTAGGGATGAACTACAGAACTGCTTGAATTTAGGGGCCAGATAAAATTTAAAATAGGAACCCTGCACTCTCCCTGCCCCTCTGCTTCTCCTTGATTATGACCTTTCTCTCCCCCCACCCCCCAAGACTGACAGACTTGAATGCCTACAAGTCCCCTTCTGCCCACTGCAGGGATTTCCAGGTCCTTGCAGCTGTGTGGGAGGGCCCCTCCCCTCAGCCTTAGACAGCTGCTGCAGATGTGAGGGATTGAGGGGCAGCAGCTCCTAATCTTCAGACTTTCTTCTTAAATTTATTGAGGATTTGGAAGCAAATGCTAGGGAGAGGGGATAATCATGAATTAATGTCAGAGGCACAGAAATTCTTTCCGCGCTGCCACCTCCTCCACAGGTGGTTATCCCATTATCCCATTTTGCTAGGCTCCTCAAAGTGCCCCCCAGGCCCGCTTCTTCCTCCCCCAGTGCCCATGTAGTACCTACCTGTCACGCTCCCAAGTCCTCCCCTAAAAGGTCAGTACATAATGATGCTTCCCCCTTCCCCTCTGCTTCAGCGACCTAAGCTGGCCAGACCTTTGATAGGGCTCCACCTGGGGCCAGCTTGGGAGGGAGGGAGGAAGGAAGGAAAGACGGTGTGAGGAAGCCGTGAGCTGAGTACAGAATGGTCTGGGAGGGAAGGGGCTGACTTGGACTTCCTGGCAGCCTCGGCTCCGGTTCCGGTTCCTGCCCTGGTATCCTGTCCCAAGAATGGCCTCACCCAGGCTGCCTGGTGTTCCCTGGGCTCTGTGCACTGCTCTGGAGATCTGGAGGACTCTTCAGAGCTAGGAAGGCAGGAGACTTTGCCATAGGCCTCTTGTGGATTCTGGATCTTGGTAAGGAGAGTGACATGAAGGGTGAAGGAGCCGAACGTCTGCCAAGCCAGACTGCCCCAGGACAGTGGTCAGTGAGACTTGAGAGCCATGTGAGGAGATTGCACCTCCTTGCACCCCCCAAATTCCCCTGCCTTTTCCTGCTCCCTCAAGGGCCTTACTCCTGCTTTGTGTCTGTCTGTTCTTACAACTCCCCACACACCTCCCATCCAGTGGTATCATTGTCCTGACGACTGAGATGGGGGCACCCAGAACAGAGGTTGTCATGGTAACTGCTGAGCTGAGGCAGCAACCTTCTCCTCCTGGACTCAGTGCTCCCTGTCCTCCTCCCCACAGGATGCCTCCTTTGCAGCCTCTCTCCCAACCCCAGCTCTCTCCCCATTCTGTAAGATCCCCTCACCCCTTCCTCTTTTCTCTGGATGTGAGCCTGTGGTTATATACCTTCTTACATACACTCTGAGCTGGTTCAGACACACACACACAGATCAGTCCTATCCACGCACCCACTGAACCAGTCTCCTCCCACACCTGTGCCCATACCCAGGGGCGGGCATCCACAGAACCTTGGCACACACACTTCCCTGCCACTCTAACATGCCCACCCCATTTCTCCTTGTATCTGTTTCACTCTTAGAAAGCTCCTACCCACCCGCCCCCGCCTATGTGGGTGAGTATCTCACAGACATTAATCCCTTCCCACCTACCTCTCTATAAATCTGTTTAGATTCAGAGCCCTAAATTTTACCTCCTCCCAGGAGATTCATACACACACACTTTCCTCTCACCAGATCTATTTACAAACTTCTTCCATGTGAAAACAGGACAGGATGACCCTAAATTCTGTCCCATTTTGCAGCTGAGGGCTTGGTCCCACAGTCCCCTCCACTGGGGCAGGGTCTTCTTGGAGGCCGCCTGCCTCCTTCCCATGCTGCCCAGTCTTCAGTTCTCACAACCCTGCCTCCACTGTTGGTCTCATCTCAGGACTCCCTCTCCACCATCCCTTTTGCCCTCACCCTCCCCTTTTCTGCCCTGGGATTATCAGTGGAGGGGGCAGCTGGACTTCAGAGTCTGCTGCTGTGACCTAGATTTCAAGGCAGAGACGGCTCCTGGTGCTGACAGTCAGAGATTGTTCCTGGCCCAGCCTGGCAGAGCCACTGCTGGGTCCTTCTGTCTGGTTGCACCTGGGTGTGCAAGGGAGTGTGCCTGTCAGTGCCCGTTTCTTGTGGGGGTTGTGCTGGCCCTGCTGCCTGGCTCATTGTGTATTTATGTCACACTTCCTGCCACCAAGGGAGGCTTGTTTGGATACAAGTAGGGGGCTGGGAATGGAGGTTCCTAGTTTCATGCCTCTCTGCCTCAGTTTCCCTGCAGATAAGCCAGAAATAAGGAAACTAGGGGGTGTCTACCAGCCCCCTTTTATTTGTCACATTCCCAGCCCATTGCTGGTGGGATTTGTGGGTAGTCTCAGTCAAGTACAGGGTCATTTTGCTCCGTCCCACTCCTTGGTCTAGTCACAGAGCATTTATGATAATACTTTAAAAAATACTTTCCTTTTCTGATTATAAAATCTATACTTATTGAGGGGGAAAAGTCCCCTTTTAAAACTCACTAGAGATTCACATTTTGTCAAATCTAGAGAGTTCATTCTAAGGTCTGACCTTCCTTCTTCCTGTCTTAGCCACAGTTCCTTTCTTGGGGAGTGGAGGAGGGCCTTGAAGGTTCTCTACCTTTCACCCCTGGATCTCCATCAAAGGGGGCGGGGTAAAGGCCTAAGTGAGATCTAGCCTTGTCCAGCCCCTTTAGGGAGGTCTTGCTTAAGGTAGTGCCAGCCGGATGTTGACACAAGCAGGAGTGGCAGCCCCCTTCCGCCAGACTCTCCCAATGATGCATCCAAACCTCTGTCCCCTGCCACCCAGCCAGCCTGGGAACTGGGCAGGGGGCCAGAGCCAGCTGCTTGGTATTCTTGGGCACTGGGGCTGAAGGCACAGCACAAAGGCTAGGAGAGAGGGCTGTATGGAGGACCAGCAGCAATCAAGGGAGAAAATGGGCTCCACAGAAGGTGGGGGTGGCCTGTTGCCTTCCTCCCTCCCCACCCCCACACCTTGAACCCTAATGACTGAATATAGGACTGAGCAAAGAGGGGCCAGGGGACTTTTACACCAAGCAACTAGGCATCCATCCAAAATGAGTCATTCGTGGGGTGGTGGGAAGTTGAGGGACTGCTTTGCTTCTGGGGAAAGATGGAAGCTGGAACACGAGACCCACCCGTCACCCAGCCCCTGATGCTTTCTAGCTTTGCACTGCCACAGCAAGCCTGTCCCTGTGGTCATTGGAGTTGTTTTTAGGGGGTGGGGAGGGTTGCAGGTAGGTGAGGTGATTCTGGGGGGAACTTGGAGGCAGCTGGTGAGAAACTCCAGAGTAGGTTGCTATGGTAACCACCTCCTCAGTCTGGGGAGCTGTTGCCAGGGTTACTGTTAGAGGGTAAAACTAAGAAAAAAGATGGTGGGGGAAGGCGGTGTAACTTCTCTCCAGGCTCTAGCCTGGTCCCTTGCTTCCAAACATCTTCCTGTCTGCACTCCCCTCCCTTCTCCTTCTCCTTCCAGCCTTGGTCCTTCCCAGCCTTCCTGTTCTAGGCACTAGCACGGTACAGGAGAGGGAGTGGGAAGTGCCAGTGCGTAAACCGATTCCACACTTCAGGCTCAGCTTCCTTCCCTTTCTCCTCCCAACCGCAGTCATGGCTGAGTACGGGACCCTCCTCCAGGACCTGACCAACAACATCACCCTCGAAGATCTGGAGCAGCTCAAGTCGGCCTGCAAGGAGGACATCCCCAGTGAGAAGAGCGAGGAGATCACAACAGGCAGTGCCTGGTTTAGCTTCCTGGAGAGCCACAACAAGCTGGACAAAGGTGGGGGAGGGGACGGCATCCTGCCAGCAGCCTTTCTGGGGCTCAGTTCATTCAGCACATAGAAATGAGCTCTGAGCTACGCATAACCGTGGACTCCTCTCTGACAAGGCAGGACAAAAATGAGATGTTCTAGGGCTGCGGTCTTTACATTCTTCAGTATGTCCCTGTCAGTAAAAAACATTATTCAGATACAAGTGTGCTATTATTATATATAAAAGAATATTAAAATAGAAGTTGAAAGTGATACAATTTAAAATAAAACTACAAAGTTCTAAGATCTTACCCACTTTCAGAGGACACTCCAATGGAGTGGCTTTGGGGAGGAACTGGTAAAGATGACTCTGAAAGGCAAGTGGGATTTCAAAGGCAGGATCCAAAGGAGGGCGTGCTAGGCCAAGGACCACAGGAATAGAGGTGGGAGAGTATCTGGTGTGTTTGGAAAACTAAGAGATCCTGCCTTGCTTGCTGGGACAGACAGAATGTAGAGACGTGGCTGGAAAGGTAAGTGAAGGCTGTGCTGGGAAGGCCTTGAGTGATAGGGTATTTGATAGGCGAGGTGAGTGACCTGAAGGAGTGTAGCATGGATAGCTGGGAGGGAGGCTGAGGGGATGTTACAGTTACTACTGTCCTCAGAGGGGAGGACCCAGGGAAAAGAAGGTCAAAGGGTGCCTGCAATCTGTGCAAGTCATGGAAATCATCCTCTGGTCATGGCTGTGCCTTCTCTTACTGATAATTACTTTTCTTACTGGGCCCAGAAACAGTGGTGGCCTGTCTAGAGAGTCCACCCCTCCAGTCCCACCTACGCTATCAGGACATTTTTTCTGAAGCTTACTTGGAGGAAAAGTAGAAGAGGGACAGGGTGGGTGAGGAGTATTGGAAGGCCAGTTAATTTTTCTATTCTGCCTTCACCCCAGATGTGGTATTTAACCTAAAACCATCATTCTAAACCTGTAGTGTAGAAACGTCACTGATCCACCATCTGCCCTTCCTGGGAGCCTTGGCTTTCTTTTCTTGGCTTGGTGGCTCCTCTTCGTTTGTTGCCCCATCTAATAAGCCAATGTGAGCAACTCAGCCTTGGTTCCAGAAGCCTGGTCTGGTAGAGTGGGGGAACCTGACCTCTGACCCTCAGTTTCCTGTCTTGCTCCAGACAACCTCTCCTACATTGAGCACATCTTTGAGATCTCTCGCCGTCCTGACCTCCTCACTATGGTGGTTGACTATAGAACCCGTGTTCTGAAGATCTCTGAGGAGGATGAGCTGGACACCAAACTAACCCGTATCCCCAGTGCCAAGAAGTACAAAGGTAAGAGGCCATGCCTTTACTGTGCACTTCTGCCCCTCCCACGGATGACTCTGGGAGTGCTTGGATTCTGGGAGCATGAAGGCTGACGTTCAGTGGGCCTGCCTGGTGTATCCCGTAACTTCCATCCCTGGACATGTCCCTTTTTGCCCCCCAGACATTATCCGGCAGCCCTCCGAGGAAGAGATCATCAAATTGGCTCCTCCACCGAAGAAAGCCTGAACAAGGGGGAGGAAGAGGAGGAAGGTTGGACCTTCATAGGACCACTCCCTTCCCCAGCCTCCATGGGAGGGGCAAGGGCACCCCCCAAATCTATCCACTTACTAACCTGGTCCTAACCCCCTTACTGTGTGCGTGTGTGTGTGTACACACGCTCTGGCTGTCTGTCTACATGTCTAGCTCATCTAGCTCCTCTTCCTTGTGAGGGGCTGGGGGTCAGAGGCTGGGGTGGGGGAGGCTGTTTCCCTGCTCTAGGGAAACTATGCATATAGAAATGGGCACATTCCTCCTCCTTCCCCTTCCTCCACTCTTCCCCCATCTCTCTCAAGTGAGAGAGAAAGGACCTACATTTTCCTACACTGAGAAGCCGAGGAGGGAGTGAGACACAGCAGAGGCAGGTTGATCTAATGGAAAGCGGTGGGAGGAAAGGTGAAGAGGCTACCCAACCCCCACCTGGGAGGGGCAAGCAAAGCCAGAGTTCAGTGTTTGTACCCCATGCTGGACTGGCTGTGGAGTCCCACTTCCAGCTACTCCTCAGGCTGAAGGGCCTCGGCACCAGCAGGTCCCTTTTTGCTCCCCTTTTATGGGCCTAGGGTGGGTGTGAGACAGGATATAACGACAAAGGACCATGGATCTTTTCCTAGTCCCTAAGTTCTGACCCACAGAGCACCCGGCATTAAATATCCCCACCCACCTCTGCTCTGGAGACTGTGCTGGGAGAAAGCCCCACTGTGGGGCTGATGGGCAGAGGGGGCCCCTTTTCCACTACTTTATTCCTACTCAGACTGTTGCACATACTGACCTGAATCTTGGGAGGTTGAGGAATGAGATCCTTAAATCTTAACTCCAATCCTGCCCCCACCTACAGGGTCCCAGAGTGGTTACTGTAGGAAACTTTCCCTGGTCTAGAACACCCCAAGCCTGAAATAAGGGATGATGTTAACTACAGGGTTTTCCTTTGCACTGATCCCAATTCAATCCAGGAAAAGACTTGGTAACCCCTGTCCCTCACTATCCTGGCACCTTGGGCTTTTGAATGCCTCCTAGCCAAATCACTACAAGTACAGTGACCCCAGCCTCCTGCCTGTCCCAAGATGCCCCTCCCCACCCTGACCGTGCTAACTGTGTGTACATATATATTCTACATATATGTATATTAAACCCACACTGCCATGTCTGCCCCTTTTTGTGGTGTCTAGCATTAACTTATTGTGTAGGCCAGAGCGGGGGTGGAGGGGAACGCCACAATGAAGGGAGTGGCAGAGACAAATTGCTACATAGTCAGAACAAAACTTTTTTTTTTTTTTACTTTAAATCCACATGCAATCTCGAGAGACTATTTAGAGAAAGTTTAAGTTAGGAGCTTTTAGGATGTGGGAGCAAAATTCTAATGGGAGGGGAGGGCTGGCTGTTGGAAGAGGGAAGAAGCCAGACTGGTCGGAGAGCACCCTGTACTCCTAGCTCAGCCTGCCTGCCTGTCTCCTCTGGCCACTGCTGCGGACACCTGCCTTAACACACACACCTCGAGTACTCCACAGTTTTTGCCTTAAAGGACCTTCCCAAGTTCCCCCAGCCCTGTCTGGCTTTTCCCTCAAGGAGAGAAGGAGAGAGAGTGAGAGAGAGAACTGTAGAAATGGGAAGGGGAAATGAGCATGAATTGTCTTTCCAGCAAGGGTATGTTATATGAGTAAGAGAGAGAGAGAGAATGAATATGAATGAGATGAGTAAGGAGCCTTCCTTTGAAGAGAGAGGATGAGATGGGGAGAAGGAAGACAGGGTCATTTCCAGCAGTCTAGTAATTTCTCTGTAAGGCAAAATAATCTAAAAAGACTAACCTGCCCTCCCGCCCCTGTACTGCTGTGAGACTGCTCCGTCCTGTGCTCCTCTGTGTAGTGTGCACGGCCTTGTTCTAACCCTGGAATAAAGGTGATTGACTGAAACTGTATCTGACTGATTCTAGATTTATATGAATGATCAGGATTTTGGAGACTGAGTGAGAAGGGGGAGGAAGCAGTATTTCGACTCCAAATCGCTCACTGCAGCCTGGAACAGAGGCCAGGAAGATGCCCCTAATAGCACTCTTCCTCCCCCATCTCCTATGTGTCACTGAGTTATGGGCTATTCCACTTACAGCAGTCTGCAGCTGGAGCCCAGCACTGGAAACATGGGTATCCCAGATTAAATTTACTAAGACTGTAATAAAAGGAGGGCCAGGCACCTATATCGGAAGGAGCAAAAATAGCCCATCACAAATGAATGGCCCACATATCACACAGAGCAGCAGTCGGGGAGGGGGAAAAAAAGCTTTACTAAGAGAAAATATACAACAAATTTCAGAGTGCATGGTTTTTAACCCACTCTATCACCCAGCACATTAGAAACAGGAACACAGATCACCCAGTCACCACACGTTCCCTACCTCAGAATGCAGCAGCTAACATCTGGTATGAGCTGCTAGGAAAAGGGGCAGGAGGAAGGAGTGTCTGGGAATTCCATCCTTCACTCTTCTCTTCGTTCCTAGCCTGTTCTAGTAGAATGTGAGTGTCTCAGGATGCAGAATTCCTGGTTGGGGGCGCAAAGAAATAGCAGCAAAAGCATTTAAGGGCAAGAATTCAACTTGGACTTTCATATTCAGTGACCAGTGATAAGAATGATGTCCAAGGCCCAGCCACTTTAATCAATCCTTAGATTAATGACTTGTCCCTCAATCCCAAGATAATCAAGATGTGGAAAAGGTATAAAATCAAACTCAGGAGGTCTTTTCCTATATATATTCTTCCATTATTAGGAAGGCTGCTGTTGTGGGGACAGATGGTATAAAGAATCAAGCAGTTCAAAAAAAAAAAAAGGCAGCAGCAGTTTAAGCTAAGAGTGAGTGTCTTCTGTCACACACGATATTAGGAGAGACAGTCTGCAGTGTCAGGACCTTTCCTGAAATCAAAGTTCGGTCAAGTTTTAAGGACAGGCCAGTCTCTGGTTAGAAGAGCCATTCTGGGAACCCTCAGACCACCCTAGGAGGTCTAAGGGAAACAGTTGAAAGCAATTTCCTGCTTCCCCAACTCCAAAACAATGAAAGGAGAACAGGGAAGGGGAAAACTGAGGATCCTCCCATTCTTGAGCCTCTTACAACCCGAGGGGTTAGCCCCAATCTCTAATGGCCATACTCTGAGGGTAGGCTGACCCCAGGTGTCACCTCCACATCATTACTCTCGCTCATTCTCTCTCCTGTAAGTCCCTTTATTGCAGTCATAGAGAATATGTAGGTATTTAAACTTTAACAATAATTTTAACATGATACATCCAAGTTTGACTTGTTTTTTAATATATTTATAGATTTGAAATTAGGTCTCTAACAGTGATAGGGACAGGGAGATTGCTGCCACCAAACAACTTTTTTTTCTTTTTAAGTAACAGAAGAGGTAACACCATTCCTATTCTTCCACTTCTGCCCCTCCTCCCATCTCCGTCCAACTTCCCTCACCAGACCCACTGGGAGTGATGGGATGAAGAGAAGAGAGTCAAGGATACATAATCAAGTGCAAAACACTGTGATAAGTACAGAGGGTGAATGGGTGGAAAGGAAAGTGAAGAATGTGGGATGGTTAGGGGCTCTAAGGACTTTCCAGAAAAACAGGATCCTGGGGTGGGGGTGGGGGATAATAAACTGTCATAGATTTTTTTTAAAATAAAGGGAAAAAAGGTCAAAAACCTAAACCAAAGAGAGAGTGGCACTTCTACCATCCCCACTCTGGTTCCTTGGTACTGAACAGCCACTTATATCCCCAACCCTCCACCCAAAAAAAACAAGGGAGATTAAAGAAAAGGAAACCCCATTCCTTATCCCAAACCGGTTAACAAAAATAGGCTCCCCTTCCCACCCCCACAAAATGCTTTGGGGAGAGGCCATTTCTACTGAGTCCTATGCACCTTTCCATGGAACCCCATTCCAGGGCTCAACCCCACTCCTAGGTACTCTGTAGGTTCACTCCTCTCTGGTTTGTCCTTCTCCTGGGATGTCTTTCTTTTATCTAAAGCAAAAAGTCCAAAGTGCGTTTCTGCTGAATGTAAGGTCAGGAAAGGGCTCCCAGGCAGGATCAGGTAGGCAGCCCCAGCCCGCCCCTCCTGGGTACGAGGCCTCAGGACGGCATGCATTGCACCCGGTCAGGGCCCTCCTCCTCGTCCGACGTGTCTGAGGAGCTGGGAGACTCATCAGAGTCTGCATCTGTGGCCCCGACCCCTGGATCTCGCCAGCGCTGTAGAATGGGAAAGGCTTGTCAGTAATGTCCCTGGAACAACAAACCTATTAGGTCTTAGCTATATAATTCAGATGCTCTATGCCATGGGTCAACAGAATTTTTCTAAAAGGGCCAGACAGTAAACATTTTAGACTCTTGGGCCATATAGCTGTCACAACTATGCAACTCTGTTGTTGTAGTGTGAAAGCAGCCACAGATACTACATTAATGAATGGGTATAGCTGTGTTCCAATAAAACTTTATTTACAAAACCAGGCAGCAAGCCAAATACCATATTTGCCCTAGCCTAGGCCTCTTCTGGCACGAGAGGTAAAACAGAAGGGTTACCCTTCTTCCTTATCCCTTCTTTTCAACTCCTTCCCCACCCTCATGACCTTGCCTTCTGGAAGACTGTACTGTGCACACATGGCGATGGAGAACAAAATGCAGATGGCACCCATTTTTGCCAGTGGCTCTTACAAGGCTACTTCAGGGCTCTGATGGGAATGGGGGACAATGGATAGAAAACACAACCAAGACCACCGACTCCTCTCTAAAGCAGTGAGGAAGTGTGCACGGGAACTTGGGAGCTCACTTCCCACTCCAGCTTACCCGGTGATGGCGTCTCTGTCTCAGGTGATGCATGAGGAACCAGAGCATGTGGCTATCAAACAGGTCAGTGTGGTGCAAGCTATCTTCATCCCGCTCTCGCTTGTTCTTCTTAATCACCTGGAACCAAAAAGGTTTAGGGGCATGGGGGTTAATGAATCAGGACCCTGGACCCGATGAGCCAAGGCTGGTGTTCTATCTCAATGAAGATTCCCCTTAGGAACTGTAAAGCTGACGTAGAACTAGATTAGATTAGGAAACGGTGCCCCAGGTCCATCCGTTAAGAAGTTAGGATGCTTTAAATGAATGAGTTTTCCTAAAAATGTCCCCTATCCCCACTCTAGCATGAACTAGAAGTACTTCAAAGCTTCCTGCTGGACGGGGACTGTCCCTAGAGAGGCAGGGACAAGAATCGGGGGAGGGAGGGTGTTAGACCACTGCCTTTGAATAACTGGGCAGCACATCATTCCTTCCTGTGACAATGAAAACTCATAATACTATGTAGCTAAGTAGAAAGAAGAACAGTTGGCTACTTACGTCCTTTAACCCTGTAAGCTCAGTGGAAGCTTCTGCTGTGGGTGCCCAGATCTTGACATCATGGTCCAGGCCACTGGTTGCCAGCACAGGCAAGTGAGGGTGGGGCTCAAGACAGTTTACCTAGTCAGGAGGAAAGGAAAGCACAGGCTCAGGGGTATGTGGGAATTGGGTTTAAAAACCACTACTCACCTTGAGCCAAACAACTATCCTTGATCAGGGCTGAGGCAGCTACCGGAAAGGCTCATTGTGAGGCTAAGCCAAAGAGCCCTGGAGGTGGAAGAAACCCTGGACACAGACTGGGTATAACACAAGGTCCATTTCTCATTTTCTATGTATAGGCAGGGGTGGCCTCATTCCCAGACATAGCCCTAGGGGTGGGCGAGTGACTGGCTAAGCTTACTGCTGACTTCAGAAAAAGGCAATGAGGTCCAGGTGACCTCATTCACTACAGATTCCATAGCTCCAACTTACCCAAGGCTGGAAAAAACCATCTCAGGGGGTTTCGTCAAGCGGAAAATAAGTTTTTAAAAATGAAGAAAGCAGCAGCTGTCGCTGAACCCCCAGAGAAGAGTCAGAGAACAATTACAATCACTTGGTACCGTTTACTCAAACTGGAGGAAGGCACAGGCTGGGAAGAGGCTGAGGTGGGGAGTGGTGGAGTAGTGGCAGCACATTCATGTCTGCTTGGGAACCCTGCACATCTCAGGGGAGAGTACCCTGATACATGCCCTGAAAGCATAGTAGGCTTAGCTACAAGGTGGCAGAGTATATCAGGGTAGCTTCATGGGGCACCCACAGCCTCAATCTCAGCCACCCTCTGGGTGTATTCACTGAGCAGGAAAAATGAACTAAGGCAGAGAGGCAGGCCTTCTGGCTTAGGCAGCTTCCTCTTATCTGAAGGCCCCTATGCCCCCTGCTGTCTGACTGGAAAACTTCAGCTTTCTTTAAAAAAAATTTTTTTTCTTCTTTACTGATTTTAGAGAGAGGAATGGAGAAGGAGAGAAAGACAGAAACATAGATGAGAGAGAACACTGACTGGCTGCCTCCTGCATTCTCCGCACTGGAGATTTGGCCTACAACCTGGGCATGTGTCCTGACCAGGAATTAAACCATCGACCTCTTGGTGCATGGGTCGATGCTCAACCACTGAGCCACACTGGCCAGGCAAACTTCAGCCTTCTTCTTCTTTTTTTTTTTTATCCTCACCCAAGGATATTTTTCCATTTTTTGTACAGATAGAGTGGGAGAGAGAGAGAAGAAGGGAGAGAGAGAGAGAAACATCGACATGAAGGGACACATCGAGTGGCTCCACCCGCACGACCAACCAGGGCTGGGGACAAACTGCAACCAAAGTACGTGCCCTTAGCGGGAACCGAACCCGGGTCTCTCCGGACCGTAGGCCGACGCTTTAACTGCTGAGCCAAACTGGCCAGAGCAAACTTCAGCCTTCTTAATGGCAGAGCAGGGCAGCTTCCCATCCCCATAGAAGTGCTGGTCCAGATCTAGCTGCTAAAACATTTTCAGCCTTTTAGTCAATTGAGGGATAGATA